GCCTATCAGATCACGAAGGGCATCGGGGGAGAAACGGAAAGAGAGCAAGGGGGAGAGAGAAAATGTAACTTCTAGACCCCGTGTCTTCATCTGCAGTCAGGATCACCAACCACCATCTGTTTTACATGTAAAGCGGGGTGCCTTTTTGCTCGTTTGAGCGGCCTGGCAAAGGTGCTCTGTGGGGAAGGGTCTCTGGCCCGCTTATGAAAAAAACCTCCCTGATCAGAGAGACATTAATTGGTCCAATGGACAAGTTCCTTCCTTTCACAGCACAGCTCTCCCGCAGAGTGCTGCAGCCCGCCACATAGAATACCATATGGTGTGGCCTTGTGCCACCTTCTCCCATGGGCACCGGGGAACAAGCTTCAAATGGGCCATGATAGGGACAGTGGGTGATGCTGTAGGCTGTGTTGCCACAGTATTTTGTGTGAAACAGTCTCTTGGTTGTCGATCAGTGCTGTAATTTGTTACCGCACACGCCGTCTCCTCTCCCCTCTCGCCTGTGTGTCCTCTCCTCACACCATCGTGGCACTGCGGTATTTTGCGTGCATGTGGAGGAGCCTTAGATAGCCATGCCACAGCTTCAGTCTCTGCATCCTGGCAGAGAGAATGTGAATCGGCCAGTAGCCAACATATTTTGGAGTGTGCTCGGATGATGGAAAAGCTTAGGCCCGGTGTGTGTGTGTGTGTGTGTGTGTGTGTGTGTGTGTGTGTGTGTGTGTGTGTGTGTGTGTTTGTGTGGAGAAAAGGCGGGGAAGAACGTAGGCAAGCAAACAAACACTCACTCCACTGAGTCATGCACTCCAGCCGCTGCCTCTTTGTGTGGCGCTGGTCTGCACCTGCAGCATGCCAGCCATGCTGATGCACAAGCCCGCAATCGCTCTGCCTCCTCTCACTTTAAGCAGTCCATTAGCCAGCAGCAGCTGAGTGCTGCTCTAGCTAGCTGGGCAGCAGCAGGATGTGTTCAGCTGGCAGAGAGTGCTGCTGCTGGGAGCTAGCAGGAGGCCCATTTGTGCCAGAATAGCTTGCGTCCAGCAACCCTCTTAAGTTTTCTGAATTGTTCCCATCGGAGCACACTGCAGTGTCGTTGTGATGAGTTTTTCGTGAAAGTCTGCTGCCACTAACATTTATATAAGTGCTGTGTTGAGGACAGCAGCCTTTGCTTCCGTCTCTCTTACCTCAGAAAGGTTACCGTAAAAAGAGCTTCTCAGTGAAAAATCGTTGTATTTTTCTCCAGTAGTAGGTGTATTTTGACAAATTCTAATAAATGCTGCACTGATGACCAAATTCAATGGGATTTAAAGAAAAATGCTCCAGGTTTGCTCATGGGAATCCCAACAATACCTCTAGTGCATTACCACCTTATCCATCTGGATCCCCTGAGATAAATACAGTAAAGCAGTGTGACCATAACTCAGTGTGACCTGTGAAGAGATGAGTCCTGCTGTGAGGGCCTCCCTGACACCCACCATTTTCCTGTTGATTTATGGCGTTCTCTACGACTTCTAAGGGTGAAAGGAAATTGGAAAAACCACCTTCGAGGTGATCTGCTGTGTATATAAATGGCAGCTCAGTGTTAGGAGGCAGTTAGCTGTGTCCTTATCCAAGGCTTGTAGCTGACTTGTTTCTCTGGATTTATTCCCACAGAGGACAGCTCTTTCTGATGAACTCTGTTAGAAGGACATGCGCTTGCAAAATGCAGTTGAGCATGACCATTTGCATAATATTATGCATAAGCAGGTTAACATAGGGCTTCATTGTCATTTTCATGGGCAGGACAGACGCAGTACTGAAATCTACAATAAATAAAAGCAATATTTGTGTGTTGAGAAGAAGTATGAAGAAAACATCACAAAAAGATGAAAGTGTTTTTTGCCCCCTAGAAACACATTCACAACTTGTCATTGGAAATTCAGCAAAATGAGGCTCTCGTTCAAAGTACAGTAAAGAGTATTTTTAAAGAAACCCTGTGCAGATCAGTTTTCCACTAAAAAGGAAAACTAATCTGAGCCTTGCAGCACTGTGGGAAACAAAGTAGGTATTGTGTCAGTGCTTACAACAGGGTCATGAGGCAAGACTTGCAACTTCCCAGTTGGAAGGGATGGATTTCACAACAGACTGAGGTATTTATCTCACTGTTACTATGGACTGGAGAGATTCAAACAGATATATATGTATATCCAGGAACAGTGTGATGGCATGAACGAATGACTGTGCTGTGTATTATCCGTTATTGATTCATTTATTTAACCTTTATTTAACCAGGAAGTCCCTTTAGATTTTAATCTCTTTTCAAAGTGAGACCTGGTCAAGACAGGCCCACACCTATGAACGCCTTATCAATACAACCCAGTGTTAATTCTAAACAGTGCATTACACCAATGCAGTAAGTTGTCCTAAAGGTAAATAAAGAGAGGTAGAGCTGAGACATGCCTCTACAATGAATATGTAATTACATTGGCTTCATCTGTCTGTTAAAGTGATGGCTTTTGGTCATTCAGACGTACAGTAGGTGTCTCTCACGTCTTATTTGTTAAGGCTTTATTCAGACATGACAGGACTCTTGGAAAGAGAGCCAATGCTTGATCGATATTTGGCACCACTGCTGAAGAACATAAGTGTGTTGGAAAATAATCAACGAGGAAGATTGTTTGCAGTTCTTAATTGAATGTGCTCACATTAAAGCTGCACCTATTGAAAGTTGAATCTGAACAAAAGAAAAAAAACGATCATAAGTAACGTGACAGGGGTTGCTTGTTGTGATGAGGCCACAGAGAATTATTACCAAACTCAGCAGTTCCCTTCAGCCCTACGTAGTGTCTCTGAGCTCATTGTTTTGGTTTTTACGACCCGCAGCTGTACTGTTTTGGTTTACTCTTACAGCTGTCATTAGCATTGTTTCCAGCCACAGCAAGCAGCTCTTTTCATTTAAATAATTTAAAGCTCTGATAAATCCACTGTACGATAGCTGTCCTGCACCAAAACAGTTGGCAATTAGTTGGTGAATTTAGCACAGCATTTAGCTGTCAGGTGTTAGTGGAGAGCAAATCAGAGCAGAAAGTAGAATTAATATTGGACTTTTGTTGAGTTGCCATAAACCTGGCCAAAACTCCAAATGAATGCTAATGTTGCTACATGTCTTCTGGATATGTAAATAGACAACTGTTAACACGCTCACCATCTCAACTTTATAATGTGATAATATTTCAAAAGTTACCAGTTTATTGCATTTCACTCAGGTCGCCAAAAAAATCTGGTAATCCAGATTTAATGCAACAGCTTCAGCAGCAGAAAATTAAGTACACGCATAAAGAGCAAACCAAGGGACTTTTTGTTGGCTTATTCAATATAACTGATGTATGGTATCAGTGTCATATTGTCATTACGTCAAGGTGCATGTCTGACAGGGGCATAAATGACAGCCTGTGTTGTCAACAAATACTCCTGCATTCAATGACTGCTTTCACAATGATAGCAAGGCAGATGATTTATTTCTGCATAAAAACAAACATAATGACAAAGTACAGTAAACAGTGCAAAACAGTACGGCAGCGAGAAGAAAAGCTAGAGGCCCTGTAAACACATCACAGCCAAAGAAACAAAGTATGAAAACTGCAACAAAAAAAGTGTTATAATAAATATGAAATGTATACATAAGAAAACTAAATTAATATAGACCTAATGCATAAAGTCAAATCAAAGGGAAAGTGAGAGCATGTTGCGTGGGATGATGTGTGTTTGTGTATTTCTTCAAAGGGAAAGGGAAAATGAGGGTGAGAGTAAGTGTGCTCGCCGTGCTGAGGCAAAACTTCAAGCAGTTTGGGTCATCAACCGAGTCATGTTTAAAATTGTTGAGAGATGCGGATTTATTGACAGCTTGACTTGAACTACGGCACAGTCGAGCTCCCCTCGCCTAATGGAGAACAAACAACATCTTGTCTGGGAATCTGGTGAGTTTTAGGCCTCTGAAGTATCTTGTTTTAGAGTGTAGGTCTGAACTTGTGAACTAAATAGAAAGCGTGCTTTAAAGTGGCAGGAGAGGGGACTTTAACTGATGTATGTATTCATAAATAACTAGCTCTATCAGGCTGCCTGCTGACAGTTGCTAGGCTAACATATATTGTCAGCATCTTAACAATGCTTATCTTTTTTTGTGATCAACACAGCTGGCTACACTAAACAGTAAATACCCTTGCGAGTAGTTCCATCCAGGCACCAAAGTGACTGAGTGCCACATTATTGGAACCGCACTGACCTGTTTGTTGTTTTTGTCATCAGCACTTCACCGAAGCCAAGAACCATCTGTAATTGTGGTTCTAAGCAACAGGAAATAATTTTCCCGCTCACAGATTATAGAGGAGTGGAGAATCTGGTTTGGGATGTGCAACCATTGTGACAGTCTCTCATTAACTGGAGCACAGCGGAGGCTTCACACAGAGACAATTACACACTGGCCTTTTGAGAATGTGACAGCAATTTTTTGACAGGAACTGATAAACAGGGAGGCACATATGCTCGCATCTGAAAGCGTTAGCCTCAAGGTTAATTTATACGCAACATATTGTATGCATGTGATGGGACAAAAGTAGAGCAAACTGTGTAGTTTTCATTTTTAGGCGAGCCGAAAAAAATATCTGTGAATTATTTCCATTTGGTGAAGAGAATTTGAGCCTGTGCCATGAAATAATAATTATTCAGACATAAAGTGGGCGGTGAGAAGAAACAAAAACTGCTGGAAGACTTGTCTTGGAAGAGACTTTGACAATTGTAGCCTGAACACTCGCAAGGGACAAAAGGAAATATTTCAAACACAAACATTTGAAGGGTAATGCCTTTAAGTAGCATGGATCTGCGTGTCATATTTATGGTTCTAAGAATTCAACACAGCTTTGACAGTGCACTTACAATCCGACAAGCTTCGTCTTGCCACCATGTCTCCCTGCCCCCGAGGTTCATGATAGTGCCTGTACAACCGCCCATGTGCTCCCACACCCACGTCCTCATTTCCCTGCTCGAATCTCCAGTTAGCATGTTCTCAATTCCCCTTTAGCTACGCTGCTTTTGCTCATTTATCCCACTATCAGCTGTGAGAGGGGGATGGGGAGCGATGGAATAAGTGTGTGGGGGAAGAAACTTTGCATCTGTAGTCCCCGCGGGGCACAGCGCCTGGCAGCTTCAGGGACGGACCTGTCAGCGGTGAGACGTCCCACCTCGTGCATGCACCAGTGGTCTCCAGCACTGCATGAGAAAGGTCAGCTTCCATTAGGTGCACTGTGACAGAATGATGTCTCTGCAGCAATTTATGCCGAGCCTGACTTGCTAATTCTGCTCTCTGTCCGTGACTGTGTGTGTTGATAATCATCTGAGAGCGAGCACCTTTAATTTAGCCAAGAGCCAGACTTTTGTGTTCAGATATATAGTCTGCTTAGAGGAAGGCGAGCAGGTGTTATTACTACAGCTCTATGGGGAAACGTGGTATTTTCTCTCGCAGGATGATTCCAGATGTATTGCAGGAATGTGAAGCTTGAAGAGTCATGCAGTTGTTGTGGTTGTACTGTCTTTCCGCTCAGGCTTCATCTGTCACCGACCATCGGCGGGGGCTCACCCAGGAAACTTAGCAGAGTAGCGAGGGGGCTGGAGAGGTGTAGGGTTGCATGGTCGTCATACCACCAGATGGGCAAACACACAGCATCTCCTAACACACTGTGCTTTGTAAAAAAACATTGCTGTGGGTGATGCCTGAGTGGCTTCCATCAGTGTTACATTGTAGTTGTCAGTGCGTATGACAGGCCATATGTGTGATGTTGGTGAATGAGAGCTGTGTCCTTGGGTCTCCCATCCTTCTCTCTGAGTGACTGTATGAACTGTCACTGACATATTGCAGCGTGTCGTGGATCAGTGGGGCCGAGACTCTAGGAGGAAGAGCCAGAGTTGTTGACAACATGATGAGGTGTTTACAGTTTACTGCCCAGTACGGTAGCAGATTCCCACTGAACTTAAACGGACATAAAACTCCAGTATCACATTGTTAGAAAGAAACGCTTCATGCAAAAACACATGTGGAGTCAGTACTATAGAGATGTGAAATGGGAGCAGTTGCTGGTTATGCAAGTTTTTCCCTGTGAAAATTTCCATTTGTGATCCCCTTGACTCTTCCTCTAGTACCACCATGAGGATGAGATTTGTGGTTTTGAGTGAAACGTTATTAATTACTTCTGAATGGATTGCCATTAAGTTTGGTACAGATACTCATTTCCGTCTCAGAATAAATACTGTAGTAATCATTTTGGTGACTTTCCATCAAGGGCTGCAAAATATGGTAAAAAAAAGTATTATTGTCGCATTATTTTGACAGATAATGACAGATGTTGATGATTCACGTTTAGAGAAGGAATGAGCAGTTTTGCATTATAACTTTCATTTTCACTTTTTCAGACAGTTATGAAAATCATAATGATGTGACATTTGTTGGTGTCTGTGCCAAATGTTTCCTTAAATCTGCAGAACAAGACTGGAGAACATTTAATTATTATTATTATTATTATTATTATTATTATTATTATTATTATTATTATTTACATATTTATTTAATTGTGCAGCTCTAATTCCATCATAAGGTCAAAATGTTAAAGGTCCAGTGTGTAATATTTAGGAGGATCTATTGGCAGGAATTTTATCTAATATTCATAGGTACATTTTCATTAATGTATAATCACCTGAATATAAGAATCATTGTGTTTTTGTTACCTTAGAATGAGCTGTTTTTATCTAAAGAGTCCGCCATGTTGAAGGTTTGACAGTAGCCCAGAATGGACAAATCAAACACTGGGTTTAGATAGGTCCATTCACGCTTGGAAGGGGAGGGTGAGGTGAGTTTATGCAATCTGCAATCTCACTTTAACTGTCCACTACTTTGGTTTATGACCAGGTACCTGCTAAACTAATGACCCTTTCATCAGCCTCTGCAGTACTTTGTTTTAGTGCTAATTAGCTAAATGTCAGTATATAAGCACGATAGAAAAAAAGACGGTGAAGAATATGTTTTTACATGTCTTTATCACTATCACTAAAATTTAGCTCAAAGCACTGGTTGTGCATAAATATAGCCTCACAGAGCTGCTAGTGTGGCTGTAGAGTCTTGTTCAGGGTTGGGATGGTTGCTTTAAAATGTAATCAAGTAAAATGACTAATTAACTGTTATTATTAAATGAGTCAATAAGTATCACAATATTAAAGTAATGTTACTTAAATACTTTCCGTTACTTTTGAATTATCTCAACACCAAATATGTGAATAAAAGCAAGAGAAAAGAAATGTTAATAAGAAGTGTATTCTATAAGACAACAGAACAATGTCACCTTAGAAAAGAAAAAGGAAAAAATGGAAAATGGTTTCAGTGTGCTCAGTCTATTTAAAAAAAAAAAACCTAATGTATTTTAAAATTGTAACCCTGCTAAGCAATCCCTATTTTTACTGTAATGGATTACAGTTACCTTTTTTTGTATCCTGATTACATAACTCAGTTACATGTAATCCATCACTCCGCATGCCTGGTCTTGTTTACATCACTTTGGTATGGCAGTCTGCTCCAAATACGTAGAGTCTCAGCCTCTGATGAAGATAATCAGATGCACATGTCAGAAAATTCTAAATGCTTTTTTTGGGAGTGGGAAGAAAACACAGCACCATCGTTGATGAAATCATCCAAAATTGACCCAGAATGTAGACTGAATGAACTTATTATCAGGTTTCTACAAAGAGTACAGTTAACTTGAGCTTTCTGTTAGCAATGCACACAATGGCGTTTTAAGCTTGTAGGGTGGATGTTTTGTTTGAACCAGAAGAGTTTCATATCAAGCCTAGGAGGTGCTCCAACTATCATTCACCTACCATAGTCTTTGTAGAAAATAAACAGTTTTATCCCTGGAAACCTGGACGATTGAAATAACTTCTGCCACTTTGTAACTGCATTTGAACTCAAGCCCTGGAGCGGGACAGGACTTTAGTTTTCTATGCCTGTAATTGAAAATCACTTTTATCTCCAGTATTACGGAGAGAATTCTGTTCCTTTATTATTCAATCAAATAGAATAGATTTGAAACCAAAAAAGAGATTTGAGAGCAAAAAAGAGTAAGTGGCAATCAAAAAAATTTTTTTGAGATCGAAAGAGAACAGGTTGCAATTGAAAAAAAATATGAGAGAACATATTTCTTCAACTTCAATCAAAACTAATGTTTGTAAGTAAAAACATGCGACCATTTTGCTTATTAATCAGTCCTCTTTGCTTGCAAATTCAAAAGTTTTGCTTGCAAATTCAACTGCACTTGATGGGCGGGGCCTACGCTGGTGGACGAGAGAAGAGTTTCTATTGGTTGGTTTGACTGGCTACGTCTCCTGCATTACACGGGCGCTTTAGCCTGTTGCTCTTGAAACGTTTCCCATAAGTAATGAATTGCGCTATATATCGTTGGCTACAGCCTGCCGTACATTCACAACAACAACAACAACAACAACACAAGTAATGAATAATAATGCCCTGCTGCTGCAAGCACACTGATCAGCAGCAACATGGTTGTCTCTGCTAGTCACGGCCTGAGCAGAGTATCCTAATGAGTGAGTGAATTACAGGGAGGTGTATACAACGTAGGGCTGTGATTGAAACATTTAGTGTTGCATGGTACTCGCGGTGCCAAAACGTCATGCTTCCTACACAACAGTACTACCTTGGATTACTAAACTACCGCTGAACGCGGTGCCAGTTTCCACTGTGTAGCGGGCTGCCGCTACTCCTCCCGGCTCCCGTTCTCTACAGCTGTTCTAATGTCAACAAACACACGTGGTGAATAATTAAAATCACAGGACATGTCTTTTGGTCTGATTATACAGATCAGTGGTGCTGAAATTTGCGTTTCTCTTCTGTAGCCTACACATTGTACATCTCTGAGGTCAGAAGCATCATTCAGTGTCATTTAAGTCGGACCGTCTGACGCAGCTGCTCCTGTATAGACCAGTAATGCTGGCTGGTTAGAAATATGTGCATGAATTTGTTAAATTATTCGCCACATAGAACAGCAGAGACAACCATGTTGCTGCTAATCAGTGTGCTTGCAGCAGCAGGGCATTATAATTCATTACTTGTGTTGTTGTTGTTGTTGTTGTGAATGTACGGCAGGCTGTAGCCAACGATATATAGCGCAATTCATTACTTATGGGAAACGTTTCAAGAGCAACAGGCTAAAGCGCAGCACAGGGGAGAAGTGGGTGTAATGCAGAAGACGTAGCCAGTCAAACCAACCAATAGAAACTCTTCTCTCGTCCACCAGCGTAGGCCCCGCCCATCAAGTGCAGTTGAATTTGCAAGCAAAACTTTAGAACTCGCAAGCAAAGAGGACTGATTAATAAGCAAAATGGTCGTATGTTTTTACTTACAAACATTAGTTTTGATTGAAGTTGAAGAAATATGTTCTCTCATATTTTTTTTCCATTGCAACCTGTTCTCTTTCGATCTAAAAAAAAAATGTTTTGATTGCCACTTACTCTTTTTTGCTCTCAAATCTCTTTTTTGGTTTCAAATCTATTCTATTTGATTGAATAATAAAGGAACAAAATTCTCTCCATACAGTATACCATCACTATCCAACAGAGATACTGTGCATTCTTTGTACTTCAATAATTTGGTCTCACACTGACCACATTCTTCTATCCCTGTACATCATTTACAACCAGTTGTTGTTGAGTTGAGTGCTCTGTTAACGCAAGTCTAACTAAACTGCAAGCTCCACACACAAGTCCTGAATGATGTCTGTAGCTGCAGACCTGTGTGTTCACTCACATGGCTATATTGCAAATAATTCACAGGCCAGTAAGGGGATACACTGTAGTCGCTATTTTGTTCTCTCTTTCTCCTTTGCCAGTGCGGCGCTCTTTGTGATTACTCGACTGCATTGTGTGCTCAGTGCATGCTAATGGCTAAATTTGATTAAGACCGCAGAGCTGATGGATTGTACAGTGGAATTAGAGTTGTGTATTGGCCAAGTAAAGATGATGGTGCACTGTCATGGCTCAGATGAGGAGCAGGTTATGTTTGCTGGTAGAAGGAGGTTAGCAGCAGCGACCTGCATCTCTGCTTCTAACTCCCCATCCATCCCTGTGTGCAGCTGTATGCAGCTGTGTGCAGCTCCTCCACCGCTAAACAGAGGGGAGGCTATGTGACATTCCCTCTGAGTCGCGATGCCACATCAGCTTATTTCCTCCCTCTTGTCATTCCTTATCTTTTCAGTTTATCCTTGATCCTTCTGTCTTTCTGGCCGCCTCATCTTTTGGCCTCTTATCTTCCCTCCTTGTTCAGTTCGTCTCCCTGATTCTCTGTCACTCCTCTGAGTAGAGAGACGATCGGGTGTGTGAAACAAAAGAGTACTCTATGCTGTTACCATGGCAACTGCATCTAGGAGCTGAGCCAGTTCTCTTCCACGGACATGCGTGCTCCGTCTCTCACTCTCCCTCCACTTGCCTCACTTAGATTAAAGCTTACCTCTGATGAGAATGAGGAGAAAGAGAAAGAGGGAAGGAGGAACAAGGGAAAAGGCTGTGCTTGTTAGGGAAGAGTTGCGTTTCATAACCCTCCAAGGAAACAATGTGCTTTTCTCTGTGATGAATCATTATTACTGATGAGAGATATCAAAGACAGACATTGTCAGTGAACTGCACACGATGCACAACAAAGGAAACACGGAGTGTATTCCTGCACTGTACGGTGCTTTCTTCTCCTCTGTGGAGGTGTCGGTCGCAGGGTCGACAGAGGCGATTGTGGGTAATAGTCTGTTACAGGAAATTAAAGCATTTGCAGGGCTCTGCTGCCTCGCTCCATGACATCAATCTGTATTAATTTGGCAATTAATCTGATTTCATGAGAAGACGTCTCAATGAGGGAACCCATTTACCACATGTGATTTGTATTTGCGTATTGTGTGTACGTGAGTGCATGTGTCCTCGAAGGGCTTTTTCATTACTGGCTGACATGTATTGTACAAATCTTTTATGACCACTTCAGAGCAACAGTAACTATCGATTTGGGTATGGTTAGAAAATGTGTCACGGTTGGCTGTGTGCTCGTTAATGTGTTCAGAACCAAAGTGAAAAATGCCCACAGTGGGGACCAGAAATGGTTAGACTGGAGCTGTTTTCAGATAATTTGTTCACGTGAACACAGCACAGCCGAGGTATATTCACACACAGGGCTGTAGATGAATGCGTTGTGTCATGTAGCCCAGATGGATGTTAAGTGAGGGGGGACGTCAGCTTCTGTTTGACTTGGACAGAATGAGAAAGTGTGCACCTGTAATGCACACATGGGAGACGCTCGTTATTTTCAGCTTGACTGAATCGGACCGGGAGGCGTACGCGATAACAGAAAGACATGGCGGCGCTGAGTGTTTTGTTCCTTCGCCATCAGGACACGATACCCGGCGGAGCTTTTCCTCTCCAATCAGGAAGTTTACTTGGCAGTCAAATCCACGATTCAGCCAGTGAGGGAAAATTTATTTAGCAACCTATAGTTCAGTGCCCAGCTGGTTGAGACTGCAAGAGAGAAATGAGGCCCTGAGTGGACATACCACTGCATGCTTCATTTTTGTCCCCAAGGAAGGGAATTTATTTCTGTCAAATCACTGTGATTGTAAGTAATGGGACAGTTGTGATAGCACAGTAGAGGAGGTGGAGGAGGAGGAGTGAGGGGGGGCGGGTTTCACACTCCTTTAACCACGTGCAATATGTCAAGACCTTCCCTGGCTGGGAAGTGGGCGAACCAGTGTGAACCGGTTGTGTTCCAGCCTCAGTCGTCAGCCATGATCGCCCACAACTCCCGGGTGCAATATGTTGATATGATTTGGTACTCGTGGGCAGAGAGACCTCCAGGGTCATATACTGACCAGATTATATACAAGGTCCTGGAGTATTGTCTGGGGAGCCAGGGAAAAAATACACAGGCTGTATTCCAGATCCCACTGAGGATATATGTTCTCACATTATGTACCTTGTCTTTCTTCTGTAAAAGGTCACAGAAGAACATGTTCAAGGGTCATAAGCATCTTTCTCATCTTAGGTTATAATACAATCCACTCTGGAACACAAAACTATCTATCCACAGGGTACTCTGTGTTTTGATAGTAGCTTCTTTTTCTTTCCGTGGCCAAAAAGGGACAATTTTATCTCCACAATGGATTTCAACAGCGGGAAATTTTCTGTGTATTCGTATAATTCACAGTAATGTCTTTGTGTCTTTGGTATCACAGAGCAAAGGCTTCATTATTAATTCACTTCCCACTGAAATTTTACAATCATACAGAGAGAAATCTATTGTGGCGGAGGCAGAGAAGCCAGTCTCTCCTTAACATACAACAATGTAATGCACACTATGTCTTTTTTTTTTTTTTTGCATTGCACATAAAAGTTCCCTGCCCATGTGGGCTTATAAGACATAAAATACAGTTGCAGTAGCCAAACAAGCCTTGTCAGAAGAGAATATAAATTATTACACAAAACTTTCCTCTGAACAAATACTTTTCTAAGCTCTTCAAACAAAGTCTGTCACAACAAACATGACTCAGGTATTAAATGATCATGCAAACAGAATAAATCAGCATTTTATTTGAAGTGAAGAGTACAGTCCTTAAATCATCATATATCATACCATTTGGCTAATGGTAAACATAGTGCACTCAGGATAGCTTAGCTTAGCATACTGACTGGAAACAGGGGGAAACTTCTAGCCTGGCTCTGTCTGAAAGCTACCAAAATCCGTCCAGTAGCACCTCAAAAGCTCACTAATACATTCCATATATCATTTTTTTTAATCCATACGAAAACCAGAGTTAAAACAAGAAGTCCTGTTGTCGCTGTGAGGGTGTAAGGCAATGAGCGCAGACTTCAGGAAGCTAATGCTCTTGTCCAGTAAATAGCCTGACACACAACACCCCATAAAAACGTTTCACTTTTATAACTTCACTTTCTTTTATTTAATTTTTCATACGAATTAAACAAACAACATATAACATGTTAATTAGTGAATGTAAGAGGTGCTGGTTGGTGGTTAGCTTTGGACAGAGACAAGCTAGCTGTTTACCTCCTGTTTCTAGCTCTTATGATATTAGCTAAGCTAACCATTGCCTAGCTGCAGCCCCATATATACCAGACAGATATGAGAGTTATATCTTCTCGTCTAACTCTCTGCAACAAAAAGGAAATAAACACATTTCCCAGAATGACAAACTATTGCTTTAACATACTGTATTGTAAATATAACACTGTGGCCTGTTTTTAAAATACAAAACTGATCCAGCAGTGTCCATGTGAAAAGTCCCATTTCATTTTTATCACATATCTTTAATATCTTTAATATCTTTTCAGTGAGCCCCTGTTTGGAAATGCTTACAGTACACACCTCTCTAAACTGACAAAAATGGCTGCACTGTACTTTTCAGCTGTTCCGTCCACCCACACATAACCTGCAAGTGAAGGCAAAAAAGTCCAACCGATCTCCAGATGAATGTATAAATTGCCAAAGTGAAGAAGAAGTCAGTGAGGTAGGCTGCGGGGAAGTGGCTTCACACAAAAGAAAATGACAACACTCAAAGAATAATGACACATTATACTATATAACTCAAACAAAGTACCTCTTCTACGATGTAATGTGTGCATCTTTGTGTTGTGCCTGAAAATATGTTTATTAGCCAAATCAAAGAGAACATTAAGATGTGAGCTTATATATGCTACTATATCTGATATGCCTTTTAGGAAGTAACACAGTCCATTGCACCATGGAGCGATACAGACTGGAGCATTACACGCATCCATATCCACTCATGGATGAGTGCTTGTACTCTTGTCAGTTTTTTCGGTTTAACACCTTTTTGATTGAAGGAATGCACTGTTGATAGCCATGAGCACTGACGGTAGCGCTCATGGCCTAATTCACTAATTCATTTTTTGGGTAATCGTCATCTTAGTGCTGGAGCTTGTCTTGCTTAAATAGCTGATCATTATCTGGCTCAGTGAGGGATTTTGTAATTAAAGTAAATGTCCTTGACGGCAAGGTGAATTATGTCCGTGGAAAATGTGTTGTATCAAGAAGCTACAGCTTTCAGAATTTGTAATGAAGGTGTGATCCTGGCTCTAGTGCCATTATTGTTTTTGGGTGAATGCTTTCATGTTCTGAATTTTTCAGTCTCCGTCTGCAGCGCCTGCTGTCATCTCAGCTCTTTTGATTCTGAAAGAAAGCATGCATTAATGCTTTTGACATGGCATTTTGAAGAACTTTTTTGCTGTGCTCTTGTCTCTTCTCAGGTTGGTGTTACTTTGCTGAAGCGACAGAGGCAGGCCCTGAGTCGGAGGTGAAGAGAGCAGGATAGGAGTCCTCCCAGACAGCAGGGAGCAGAAGCAGGCATGCAGGACTCCGCTTCGGACATCAAGATGGCCAAACAGGTCAGCACGGCCCTAACTGCACAAATGGATTCCTGCTAAAGCCACAGACTTCCCAGTGGTTGTATAAAGTATACATACAGGAACTATTAGCTTTTAGTTAGTATTGTAAGTTATAATGTAAGTTAAGTTGTAATGGGTTTCTAAAGTTCCACTTGGATTGAGTTGCACCTGCTATTCATTAATCCAGTATGAAGTTTATGTGGGAAGTCCTTCCTAAGTTCTTAATAATAGTAAGAAATACTACTTTCAACTTTGCAATTCTGTAAAAAACAAAACAAAAAACAGTTTAAAGGGTGTAATGATACATGAAACTTAACTGGCAGTCCTTTGCAAATACAAGCCTGACTTTGTTATGTATTCATGGAAATTGTTTTAGACTTAATAGTATTCATGCAGTTTAATATGCTAACCTAGCCAATGCTATTTAGTCATGATGTCATTTTGAGGCATATATATAATTTTTGTGAAATACATTTTTTAAATCATTACTAAAAAGCATTTTATCAAGTCTCAGATCAGATATGTTCGACCATATTCCATATTTCTTTCTTAACTCTTCAGACTAAACGATATAAGCGTAACGTAAATTTTGTCTGTTTTCAGTTAGTTAGCAGCAGTCACACCTGGCAAATACTGCATGTAAATAATTATTAACAAGTTCAATTTGTGTCTATGTGAGAACTGCGTTTATGTATCTTTGTTGTGCAACCAGTTCTAATTCAAATAATCTTAAAACTTAAAATTAGCTTAAAACAAGGTTTAACGTGTGAAGAGCAGATGCAACTGGCTCCAAAGCTTGTGTTTTATTGAGCTGAGAATATCATTACATGGCAGAAAAACGAGTTCATTTGTTCATATTGCCTCTTTTACAACAGGCCTTAGGGTCTTGTAGATAATGAGGCTGACACTGATCATTAAGAAGTTTATCTGGATTCATCAACTTACAGTATTTCTTGATATTGCAGCAGTTTTGCCTGGTCTGAAGCACAGACTTCAAGTCTTCCAAAGGGTCTGAAGAGTCTATGAAGTATGTCTAGGGATAGCATGACTAATGGCTGCTGTGATTATATTTTATTTCAGGTTTCTCTTTTGTCTTGTAATTCAGTGATTGGTCTAGTAACTGGAATTCAATGCAGTTTCTAGTAGATCAGATTATATGTCTGTTTTTCAGTGCCTAAAATCCAGTATTTATTAAAGCCACGGTGCCAGATGAAATCCGTAACTGTGTCTTTTGACTGCCTTTGTTTTATATATTTATGTGTTAAGGAACAGAACTCCAAGCATCTGGATGAACACAGAGAAACAGATGACATGTCTGAGAAGATGTCCCCAAACAAAAACCTCAAATCTCCCCAGAAAGGCTCCAAACGACTTAAAACCACTCCCTTCAAAGTGACCCTGCTGGACACCTCCGAGTACGAAGGAGAAATTGAGGTATGCATGATGGAAGGCAATTTGTGGTTACATGTTTTTGAGAATTAACCTTAATATGCTTTGAACAAACCATTTAAAAGCAACATTCTTTATTTTTTTATTTTCCTCTGAAGGCAGTTGTGTGTGTTGTACAGTGCTGCAGAGAGCAGATAAAACAGGCAAAGAGAATAAAAGAGAGGGTGCCACTCTGAGAGCTCACCAGGGGGCCAAAGCCAAAGCAGTGTTACACATTTTGGTAATACAAACAGTGGCACAAAAAAAAAGTGCAGTATGAAAGACTTCATTCCACACAAGATATGTGTTGTCATTATCCAGCAGTGTGAAAAAGGACATTTCCCACTTTCTGAGAAAAGAAACTGAATAAGAGTGGAGAAAAGAGATAGATGTAAGTCCATTGCCTTAGATAAGTGCACCGAAAACTGGAGCTGGAGATTTTGGAGCTTTTCTAACTAGCAGCAGCATACACCTCTGCCAGAAGAGGTCTATCTTTCCTTCTATTATATCTTTTACAGTGTTGTGGTGGAAGGAATTCATTTCAAATTATTTGACTGTGGAGATGACTATGCTGCAATATATTAAGATATTTCTTGTTTATGCTCAACTTTCTCAAAATCCAGGACATGATGTGTCTGTCTGGCACCGCTGTCTCTGTACCTGAGATGTTATCAGGCTTCTGTCTGGGCTATTTGGTGGCAGCCTGTGTCACAGCTCTGCCTCTGCATTACTTCAGCAAGACTTCTGTCTGGTGCAGCATGGACTGGGACTGGAGATATACTGTGCATGTTCATGAGAACTGCTTTTGAGTACCAGTGGAAGTGCCTGTGTATCACAACAAGTTGTCCAACCTATTGCCTTTCAATATGACCACTGTTAGCATTCTAATCTGGCACCTCTGGCAGTAGAAAAACAGCGTCAATGCCATGCAAAACAGCTACAAGTGACTATTCACATTATGTGTGAATTATTCACATGACATTTATGGTTAATGTGTTGTTACATTTAGGCCACATAAAGTACTTGGTTATACTCAGGGTTAGGTTAATATAAACCAACGCTGATGCGAACAGATAACCTTGTGAGGCAGTTGGACTCATGAGATCACACGAGAATCCATCTTGCTGAGCTTCAAGCTATGTGCTTGTGTCCACCATGGTTGAGACCAATCAACTAACCTAAACAGGTTAGCATTGTAGATGCTGCTAGCATCAGTTATGTCAGAACTGGAGATTATTTGTTCATTGCAAAAAGAGCAAAGAACGGCACTGAAGACTTTTCTTGATGGAAAAGATTTTTCCGCTCCTATCTGATTGGTTGAAGTTCGTCTGTGATAGTCAGATGGTTCATCGAATCACTTTCCTCATTACTGTTTCATTAGACTCGCCAAAGTTAATGACTCAACTGAAATCTACTAAATCTAATCAAAAAATGTAAGCCTCAGTCCAAATCTAAGGGATCAGGGTTACTATTATAACATTTTAGAAAGCTCCTCTAGAACCACATAAGACATTATCTGTTTTCTTTAGCTTGAGCAGTACTCCTTGTGAGAAGTTAATTCATTTTCATGTGTAAAATTAGTTAAGTGACTCTTCAACACTGAACCATTGGGTGCTTTGCTATACTGTATTTTGTCAAACGGGAAAAAAAAGGGTTAAATCATGTTTATATTCCCCTTACTAAGGTATCAAAATACCCTTGTTTTGGTATAAATGCTGATTTTGTATTGGCATTAATATAAAAAAAGGGGGTCAGAGGATGTCACTTTTGTCCAATAAAAGCCTTCAGCACAGGCCGCTAACAGGGTGCTTTGAAATCTATAGTTATTACATGGTTGCAAGCCAGGTGCAACCAAGGAGAAAATAGAAGAGCAATGTTATTATGAACCACCCCTTAGGTTACTTATGCACAAGTGCATGGAGCTTTGTGTGTGTGTGTGTGTGTGTGTGTGTGTGTGTGTGTGTGTGTGTGTGTGTGTGTGTGTGTGTGTGTTGTGGTGTTGTGGTGTTGGGGGGAGGGCTCTTTTTATGTGTGAGGTAAGAATATGAGGAATGCTACACTTGCACCAACCTCTCTCTCAGCGCTGTGAAAACATTCAGAAATACCTTTGGACCTTTTCCCCACCACAACAATAGTTCACATTATGGTTATGAAAGCTTTTGTGTCTAAAATATCCGCCCACCCTCGCAGCACTGCCAGTCATTTGCCAGTGAAGGCTGTACAGAGCAGCCTCTTGTCAGGCCATGCTTTTTAAAATTCTAGTTTGGTGAGAGCCTTGGACCTCCAGGTCATTGGCAGGCTTGCTCTCGCTTCCTGTCTTTAATTGATGGGGTGGAACTTCATGCCTGAAATATCCCAACCTTCCTCATGCTTCCAGGAGTTGGTAATAACAGCGTTGCGAGAGGGCAGGCCACACTTTGGGAGCGCTCTCCCAGGAGGAGGTGCCGCATTCATGGGTTAATTAAGTCTCTTGTCATGGAATGCGTGACTGAGCCTCCCGGTGGTCCTCAGGCAGGAGTGGAGGCAACATGCCCTTATCCACTTCTCTCACCCAGTCTGCTCACAGGGGTGTGATCTGCTCGACTATGCATGGTCAAGCATGGCCGGACCGATGTGCAGAACAGGCCTATTTGGGGTGGAATTGAGTGTTTCATGCTGGTTAATTGTCTTTTTACATTGCCAAGATTCTGTCTTGGCAATGCAGAGATCATTATTGAACAGTTGAATATTGAATTGCTCCAGAGCAGAGAGCGGATAGGCTGGATCACCTCCGTCATGGATTATTAAGACTCTGCATGCTGATTTGTTTATTTAATTTAGCTGGCTGCTGTTGATATAACACTGCATACCTGCTTTACATTGGCAACGATTCTGTTGGTGACATGCTGACTGACTTGATGAGAGCTTATAAGCACTTCCCAAGTGTTGCTCTACCATCCTTTCACCCATAATGAGGCAAGGGCGAAACTCTTCTTCAAGTCTTAGCCTTGAGATATTAAGAAACAAGACAGCAGAGGGATAATACTGCATCTGTTTCCCTGGCAACTGCTTGCTCAATCTCCCTGTCACCTCGCAAAGTAAGCCCCAGGGAAGGAGGCACTGTGTGTGTGTGTGTGAGTATAAGCCTGTCAATGTGTGGTCTAAACATTAACATACTTCTGTTCTATAACAGTGACATATGAGCCCATGTCATTATTTAATTTGCTCTATGAAGTCAATGAAGTAAAACATTTTTTGATACAAGCATTATTTTGCAAAATTGGCTTCCTGGGCAGTAAGTGATGTGATTTCTCAAAATAGGTCAGGATGTCCTTTTAGCTTGTGCTGACTGGTGAATGAAGGGATGGTCCTTGATGGTTTTTCTTCTTGATGATGATCACTGTTAATCAGCGCAATTAAGTAACTGTGCTAGTTGTTCTCATTTACATATTTTTCTGTTGTCAGACTCAGAAGTAGTGTGAAATTTGATCACGGCTCATGAATACTACCTTCACCAGCAGTCATTACTGTGCTGTTGCGCTGCAGATTTTTTAGAATTGTTATTATGTGATCTCTACATTGTCTGACAAATTGAACAAAAATACGGGTTAATGACAGCAACTGTGCTGTGGGATCAGCTATGTTGACATTTAAAATGACTGATCACAAAGAAAGTTTGTCCCTCACATCCATGTTAATTCAATTTCAAATCAATCAATACTCAGGACAAGGGGATTCAATTACTCAAAATCCGATTAGTGCTATTCTTTTTTGTAGATATCAGGACTCCACACAGGCAATAGAGTCTGGCCAGCCAGGTTTTGACCTTCAAGTTTGGATGCATGTGTGTGAACCTCTGAGCCACCATGGCAACCAATGTCTATAGTTTTTTTAAACATTGTATAACAATCAATCCAGTGTGACAGGCACTAGATAATCAAATCCATGGTAAAAACATGTCAGACTATATTATATAGTATTATAGGTTTATCTCCCTTACTTAGCAGTATACATTGCAATAGCCATGACAGTGTCGATATATTTCAACTATTAAATGGATTACAGTGACATTTGGTCTGGTACATATCTTCATTGTCCCCAGAGGATGAATTTCACAGTCTTTGGTATCCCCCTGACTTTTCATCTTGTGCCATCATCATATAAAAATGAATGACATTCCCAACTGCATTCATTGTACTTTGTGTTTAGTACTAACAAGCAAATGCTAACAGACAAACACTCAACTCAATAAGATGGTTGAATAAAGAAAGCATTACCCGCTTAACATAAGTATTGTCACTGTGAGCATGCTGACATCAGCATTAAGCACCGAATACAGCTCCACAAAGCTGCTGGCACTCACGGTGTCAACAATGGACATTGTGAAAATATCACTTGACATATTTGACCAGTTATGATGGAGTTACTTCTAAGTTAGTCGGTTATTTTGATACAGTTCTTGCATCAAGGCTATATACCAAGGATACACTAATCTGTGCCAAAGGCTCCTTCTGTACTGTGTGGATTCTTTGTGCATCCTAATGTTAACTTCCACATTGAAACTCCCCCTTCAATGTAAAAACATGAACTTGTCACTTGAATGTAGAAATGTTCCTGAAATGGTCCCCCTGAACTCTGTCAATCGCAGATGAAATATCCGCTTACAGTACAAAGACCAATCTTCCCCAACAATTCACAAGCCATTTTTACTGTCAAGTGTTTGATGTACACCGACTGGGACACAACACCAAATGGCTGTGCTGTTTTATTGTGTGCAGACCCAGAAAACAGGAAAGCAATCTTTGCAAGCGCAGCTGTCTAATGGGGTCTGGCGTTGGTGACCCAAGTCTTTCCCGATAAAACTAGCTATACCAGTAGTAGACTCTTGTGCACTTATAGTATCATAAATGTAGTAGATAATCTTTCTGATGCTTTCTTCTGCAGTGATGTTGACCTTTTTACTACTGCTGTGTCATCTGTGTTTGTTTTTGCAGAAACACTCCAAAGGACAGATCCTGATGGACATGGTGTGTGAGCACCTCAACTTGCTGGAGAAAGACTACTTTGGGCTGACCTTTGCTGACACAGACACCCAGAAGGTCAGTGAATTGTGTGCCACAATAACCTCGTGGGACATTTCAGTGCATAAACACGTTGCTCACAGAAAATCTGTATTCCTCTCACTTGTTGGCTGGCTCAGCTCTCTCAGGGGGGGCACTATCCATCATTCAGAGATGAATGGAAAATGGAAATTTCCATGCTCTGTCTGGCTTTGGACAACAGGCAATTGAAAAACGTGTGCAGTTGAAGAAAAGATGAAAAAATACCTAATCTATTTGCAAGATGTATATATGAAATTTAGTTATACAAATATTTCTCAGAGGCGGAGCCAGCAGACATATTCTCACTGGTTGAGTTGAACCTCCATTGACTGAAGCCTGAGAAACAGTTACTAGCTTACCTTTAGCCTATATATAGGAATTTTAACTAACCATAACCCTAATATTTGCCACCATGGCCAACTGGTCACACCAGACTGAGTAAGGCTGTAGCAGGAAAACCCCATAACGTGTATTGAATTCAGGCAAGGGTGACTTTTACTGCTTATGAATCCAACATCTAATTTAAGTAAGGTTGTGTTATTTTTTTTAGATTTGTAGAGAAGGTTATTTGTGGTGCTAAAAGCATAAATATATACATAGCATACAGGGGAGCTGTGGCTCAGAGGCAGAGCGGGTCGTTCCTTAATCGGAAGGTTGTGGGTTCAATCCCCGGCTCCTGGTGCCACATGTAGAAGCATCCTTGAGCAAGATACTGAACCCCAAATTGCGGTGTGTGAATGTGTATGAATCTTAGTTTCTGTTCGATGGACTTAGTCATCACTGTGTGAAAGGGTGAATGTGGCACGTAGTGTAAAAGCGCTTTAAGTGGTTGGAAGACTAGAAAGGCACTATACAGGTTTATACATTTACCAGACATAATGTCACATTATAAAGTTGTTTTGGCAAACAACTGCCTATTCACATCTAGAAGACACAACATTAGCACTTCTTTGGTGTCGTGTCTCTGGCCACCTCATGAATGTAAGCCTAGAATTCACTTTGTTTTTGAGATGACAGTTCCACCATCTCAAGAGGCCCTCTTAGGAAGTGGTGGAAATAGCCCTATGTGAAAAGTGTTGACAGTTCTGCATGAAATATCAGGGACAGATATCTCAAAAGCTGGCCACATAAAACAAAATTTTTGTAACTTTATTTTGTCAGAAATACTCAGATTCTGCAGTTCTTTGGTTCTGTCCTCTGAGGTTTAATTATTTCTGCTTCTGTTAAATGTGTACATACATTAAACTTCAATCAGCTCACAGATCAGTTTGACATTTGAAGTAGAAGGTCTGAATATGTTTCCCAATGATCTGTGACTTGTTATTGTGCACAGACTAAACTTATTATCATATAATGGAGTAATTTACACTGAACTGACGGGTCCTAGCTGTTGGCTCCTGAGAGCTCTTTGTCAGATGTGGGTTTTGAGTTTTGATTGATGTGAGCCTCCCTAAGGGTATGCATGTGACTGCAACAGGCTACAAAGGAACCTCCTGCTGTTTGAAGATAGGAAAGATGACAAGACTAAGTCCCTTTTAACATATGGAGCGTAGCCTCTGTCACCATCGTCAGCTTGTGCGTGCTTTGTCTGCTCACCTGTTGTAACTTAATGCGTGTTTGGCGGCTGAGGCTCTGGATTGAGCATGATCTCGGCCCATGCAGACAGGTTAACTAGGGTGTTAGAGAAGTAAACAGGCTTGAAGTTCAAATATTTTCCTTAGGCTTAGATCAATGTGACAGGCTCATCAAAGACGGGCTTATCAGAGCACAGCTTGAGCGTACTGTCTGGGGTCATCGCTGATTGGTAGACCAAATAAGCTTGAGAATTGAAATGTCATTTCAGATGCCCTTTCGCTGTCTCAGTTGGGAGAACAAGGATTTAATCTTCACCCTTCGGGAGAACATTTATTCCGTGTGATTGCTTTATGAACTAAGGTCGCAAAAGCAAGAGCGAAGCAGTTGGTAATTAAAAGTTCTTCCTGCTTTTCTGCAGAGAAAAGCAAAGCAGCAGAGAGCGCCTTACAATTGAGTGCTCTTTGGCCTTGGCTGATATAAGACAGATTCAGGGGGACGATAAATGCCTGTGGCTTATTAATGTCTTTAGCAGCCTGATTAAACGCTGGAGGAATATGTGTGTTTGTGCCAGTGTACATAAATGTGTGTGTGTGTGTGTGTACGTGAAAGCATAGTTCAAATTGCAAGAGATGTTTGCATTTTTCAACCTTTCATGCTCCTGATTCCACTCTGACTGATGTGATGCCAGCTTCCAAAAAGACTGTCAGCATTAATAAGCAACTGCTGTGTGGTATTCAGGTTAACAAAGATCACTGTCAGCTCTGTGCACCACAGGCAGCATGCAGCTGTGTTACATCCTGCAAACACCTGTTTATTATTGTTTGTTCTGAAAGAACAACAGTGACATATTCCCATAGATTATATGGGCAGGCCCAAAACAAAAAAGGTTGTAATGGTACATAGAAGTCACAGTTCGGTTCAGTTTAGGGTACGGTTCAGTGTGAGTTTGTTACAAATCCAGCACACATGAACACATGAACCATTACAGCCCTACAAAAAAAGTAAAGTATGATTCAGTGTAAGGATTTCTGGTCCAACTTTGTTTTCTTAGAGAAGGGAAAAAACATCTGAGGAAATGTTTTGACCTATGGCGAGGGTTATTGAGGGCTTCTCATCAATTCATCTCAATGAATGGGGTTTTAGACATTTCAAATATACGTAACACTTTGTATAGGCTTTTTTCAAAGTATGCCACTAAGACCTCTTCTATACCAGCATAGAGGCACATCTCCTGTTTAAAAGATGACCCAGATGAAGGCTGCAAGCTCAAATGTGTTGCTCTTACAATAAAGTTGTTGCAAAAGTTCAATACCATTTGAATAGCACACTCAACATAAATTGTCAACCAGTAAATTGATTTCAAGGAGTCAAGGAAATGTATTTATCATTATACAACACAAGGCTGTATAATCCTTGTGTTGTATAACATCCTTAATGCTACACACATAGAAATAGATCATTAAATGTATATAATAACATACAGGGATACACCCAGGTAATAGTTCGACAGTGCATCTCTAATATTCCCATCATTAACAAGACAGTAATGATAATATGCTTTCATCTTCACAAAAAAAGAAACAGTGTCATCGACGTAAACAGTGTACCTCGGAGCACGGTCCGCCCGCCAAGTGCTTGATTGAGTCTCTGTAAAGATGTGGGCACAACAGTCTCTGATTTCCTGTTGTTTGGCCAGCCTGAGTCCCATTTTTATCCACACCAGACATTAGCCAAGAGCCGCCTTAAGTCCGAGCTGGGCCAGCATGGCTTTCATCTGGCTATCTTCCCTTTCCTCCCTTGAGTGACCCACCCGCTGTAGTGGGCTGCTTCCGCTGATCTGGCTGGGGGGATTGTCTCAAGGTCTGCTGCTCTTTAATCCAAACCCTGTGCTTCCTTTTCTGATGAATTTAGGCTATTTCTGTCATAGGAAAAAAAAAATCCATATTTAAACAAAAATCTAGCAACTTGGAAGCAGCTACCAGGCGCTGCATATACATGCTCAGCCGTTGCCAATTTATAAGTAATAGGCTGATTACAAGGGTTTCTAAAAGGACAAATTCTGTTGCTATATTGCCGTAACTGGAAGGCTTGTCATTTCTGAGGAAATTGAATTGCCATATATACCAGATAAAAGGCCATAGGGGAAACAATAGTGTAATAAGAAGATGAATATGCAATGGGAAATTCCACAGAACACCCCAAATAATTATAAAACCAATTTCAGCAGGGTAAAAGTACTTGAGGGAGGTATTTCATTACTCTCTCCATTGCCGTCAGTGTGTTGCTGTGATTTACAGCTTCTGTTACAACTGAGTCAGTGTGCACTGCACCACTGATGTGTAGCTCCAGCCACCAAATCAGAATTGGTTCCCATATAGGTAAAGCGGTAGACTAGATGGTGGGATGTGATGAGCTCAGATAGGTGGCTGGCTGGCAGTGATTTTGCAGCACAATGAAGAAACAGATGCTAGAATTAAATCTGCTCTCTGCACGTTTGAGAGGCTCAGCAGGGGAGGGCTCAGTTTCTTTATTTAACCATATGGAAAGGCTTTCATTAGGAACACTGATAGCAATTAGAGCAAAATGTGACACCAGGGTGTGCATTAAGCCATGTTTCTAGTCTGCCCTGTGTGAATTCTGCCTTCTGTCTTTCAGAACTGGTTGGACCCCTCCAAGGAGATCAAGAAGCAGATGCGCAGTAAGTGTCTTTTCCAAGTAGCTGAGATGATAAATGGTTTAGTATTCAATTAGTAAAGTCATAAATTCAGATTTGATACCGTACAAACTGATGCAAAGTTTTGTGTTAATCTGTTAGATTTCTAAATACAATTTTGTACAGTGTTCCTCAGACAGACACAATAGCTAACCTCCCAGCTCTTGTAATTTCTCCTCAGACTCTCCATGGCACTTTGCCTTTGCTGTCAAGTTCTACCCTCCAGACCCCTCCCAGCTCACTGAGGATATTACCAGGTAGAATACATCTTTACCACACACACTCTTACTGTATCAACAGTTGTTACTCCTCTGGCTGTGCTGTCAGAGGCTCTTCAGAGTTAATCACATGAGAAATTGCTTACACATGTCAGTTCTGCAGGTGATTTGCCAGTTTTATTTTCCTAAAGATGCGTTTACATAAAAGTATTGTAACAATTTACATGGCACATTCGCCCCGGTGTCAAAGCAACCCAAATCCCTCTCTCCTTTTCGAGGATTAGACCTGGAATGCTACTAACTGCCGTGGATTAACTACGCTGAATACTTGTTGGAGCTTGCCTTGGCTCAGGCTTGTTTGACTGCCAACACCCTCCTCTCCTCCCCTTTTGTCTCATCTGACAGATACTACCTGTGTCTGCAGCTGAGGGATGACATGCTGTCAGGTCGACTGCCGTGCTCGTTCGTCACTCACGCCCTCCTGGGCTCCTACTCCGTTCAAGCCGAACTGGGGGACTATGACCACGACGACCATGGCTCTGACTATGTCAGCGATTTCCGCTTTGCCCCCAATCAGACTCGTGAGCTGGAGGAGAGGGTGATGGAGCTCCATCGAAACTACAAGTACTGGACACATATTTATCCACAAATCCCTTGGGATGATGGGCTGATGAGTTTTCCCACTGTGTCAAAATACTACATCATGCATGTGACTGATAGATGCCATCACATTTCCACCATTGAGATGTACACAGTGAGACTTTCTCAGTTAGACAGTCTTAACCACTCTCTGATTTGGCATTGCTTTTTGGCATATGCCCAAACATAATGCTTGAGGGTATGGATGGGAGGAATTTAGAGTTGGAGATATCAAGGATATTACCAAGATAATTCTGCTCCCACTGTGCAAGATTATGGGTTTATTATTTAAGAAGGGCTGTTGTTGTTGGTTACAGATATTACTGTAATTCTGCCCACAGGGGGATGACTCCAGCAGAGGCTGAAATTAACTTCTTGGAGAATGCAAAGAAACTGTCCATGTATGGTGTGGACCTCCATCATGCTAAGGTTGGCTGTTTCCAGAGTTATTTAATATGCATGAAAGTGGGGTTTTCACGATCCATACATACAGTGTTGCTCTTTAATCATGTATGCCTCTTCGCTGTCCCTCGTTCTCTGTAGGACTCTGAAGGGATTGACATAATGTTGGGTGTCTGTGCCAACGGCCTGCTGATTTACCGCGACAGGCTGAGGATCAACCGCTTTGCCTGGCCAAAGATCCTCAAGATCTCCTATAAGAGGAGCAACTTCTACATTAAGATACGACCTGGAGAGGTATGGAGTATGGTTAAAGGTCCAGTGCGTGGGATTTAGTGGGGTCTGGAGGTGTAAGTCCTGATCGCATTAATTTTTAATTCCTGGTGATTATACACTAATGTGTACCTATGAATACCTATGAACATTATATTCCATATTTGACAATAGCGCCTCCTAAATGTCGCACACTGGACCTTTAAGGACAACTAAAAAAAGGGCACTCTATCCATTTTAAACATTAAAGTTTTTTACTCGTCATGGTTAGTGTTACTCAATTAAAACAACTGTTATGGAATGTCTTCACTAGGTGATAACAGTGATGTCACCCATGTTAGGCCAGCAGCTGGTTAGCCTCGCTCAGCATAAGGACTTGAAACAGGGGTAAAGCACCTCTTAAGTTCATTAATCAACAAGCCGTATTTTTTAGGGGTGTTATGTGTCATCTAGGAGTCTCTGCTGGTTGTCCAATGACAGCAAGATTCCAGGGATTAATCTATAAAATATAATGTGTTAAATAGTGAGCTTTAGAGGTGCTGGGTCTAGACAGAGCTAGGCAAGCTGTCCCCCCTGTTTCCTGGCTCCAGCTACATTTTTAGCATACAGACATAAGAATATTACTGATCCTCTGATCTAATTTTCTGCAAGAAAGCGAATAAGCCTATTTCCCGTAATATTGAACTGTTCCTTTAAGCCATGGTCTCAGATTTTGAGTACAGTAACAGCTGATGTTCTCTTACAGCTGCTACTGTTGAAAGCCATTGCAGAAATGAATGTGTGGCTGGTTGAGCAGAAGCCTGTAAAATCCTCTGCTTTATACCATTTTTGCTCCTCTGTCCGGCCAGGGTCTATATTCTGGCCCTCCTCATTGTGCTGTGCAGCGCTGCAGCTTATCCTCCATGCTGAGCCTCAGTGTGACAGGCTGTCTGGGCCAGACCCAGTCAAGTGACAGAGCCACACAGTGAGCCTGTGGTCGAGCCAAATAAAGAGCCCCTTTAACGGAGCTGCTGCAGCTGCAGCCACAGTTGGAGTAGAGGGATAAAGAGTGTAAATATAGAGCCATGAAATAGTTTTCCTCCCTTTTTGCTCCCAGTGTCAGAATATTGGATATTATCCTTCCTCTGCCTTGATCTGCTCCTTTCCGTCCGGTCGGCAAAATCCATTTCTAAATGTGTTTGCTTATGTAGAAGTAGTATCTCGCACAACATAAAGACTGCTTTATTGATTGGGCTCAGTGTTCATGAAAGGATGAAATGAAAAAAAATTTACTAAATTTTTTTATGAATATAGGTTTCCTGTAGGCCACTGATAAGTGCTGAGGTGGCCCCCAGCAAAACAAAGTAAAAACACCTGCTGTATCCCCCACACCTTTCTTCACATTTCTCTCCATCTCCCTCTCCTCTCTCCCCTCCAGTATGAGCAGTTTGAAAGTACAATCGGCTTTAAGCTTCCCAACCACAGAGCTGCCAAGAAACTGTGGAAGGTCTGCATTGAGCACCACACCTTTTTCCGGTAAGAATCGATCTAGTCTCATGGTTGGAAGGTACCCGTTCAATGCCTATCCAGGCAGACAAAACATGTCTACGTGTACAGCTTCATCCGGAGCAAACACACACATTTAATTATACAGTGCTTTGTCCATCATACAGTAACCTCTCTACAGTCCCTCCACTTTCATTGCCACCTCGGCTTTACCAGTGATATTGTGATGAATGTTGAATACTTCGGGACTGTGTGGGAGGTACGAGGAAACAGTTCACACATACAAGGACAAAATGATAGAGCTCAATATGTAGCTAGCATGCAAAAGGCTAGCACTAGCAGCATTATATACTAGAAGCTGGCTTGAAATTCATATTCAATGTATCACAATTGAAACTATTTCCAATTTCAGCATTCATCCTACTGCCTTTGGTTACATGGTACGGTATGTAGTCAAGAATGTTCACTGATTATCGTTTTTGTTTTCACAGGCTGGTTTCTCCAGAGCCTCCTCCTAAGGGCTTTTTGGTGATGGGTTCAAAGTTTCGATACAGTGGAAGGACACAGGCTCAGACCAGACAGGCCAGCGCTCTTATAGACCGACCGGCTCCGCACTTCGAACGCTCCACCAGCAAGAGGTACCTGCTGTCCAGGAGCTTGGATGGAGGTGAGACCCACAATGGATACTTGTGCTGTAGGCAGTCATAAAGTAATGCTGCAACATTAGCAGGCAAAGGTGGACAAAAGACAGTCTCTGCATTTGAAAAGTTAAACTATTATTAAATCCATCTGGTGATTGCGAACAGTTCGTGATCTTATATTAATACATCTGCATAAGTGATTTATATGTTATGCAAATAATTTGGTAACCATGGTAACACATATGTGTGTCTGCAAATGAGATTTTCCCTGATACATTAGACAGTCACAACAAGATGTTATTCATAACATGCACCTGATTGGCAGTTCAGTTATACTAAAGATGTTCATAATGATAATTATTAAGCTCTTTGTGGCACCAAGGAACATAAATATACACCTGATCTGGCGATACAATAAGCAAGGCGATACATTGCAATTAAAAAAAAAAAAAAATTTAAGGAAACAGATTAACAAACATAACAAACTCACCACCATATGCATAAAATCAGAGTTAAAAAAGCGTATGTTTTTTATGCAACTGTAACAGTGGGATCTGCATTTATATTTCTCACAGTCCCTGTAACATCCACCATCACGGCCCTCAGTTTACAACACTGCTATCATTTTTTATAGTGTTTCTGAGAATCAATGCAATATTACAAAACAAAATATCACGATACTCAAGTGTATCAACATTTTCTTACACCCCTAATAAGAAGCATTAAAATGTTTGCATAACCTGCTGTCAGTCATTTGATTTGTTGTCTTTATGTGGGTCCTGATGATCATCAGCACCTCATCAGGACTTCATGTTGACTTAATTTACTCCTCTGGGTCTGTTTGTAATAAGTCAGTGTGAATACAGACCTCACCAGAACTAAAATGCAACAATGTATTATTTTTTTTCCTTTGCTCCGGTCCAAATGAACTGTTCTACAGGTGTGAAAGTGCCCTCAGCATTTATCCCAAACATTATTGCTTTTAAACCCAGTATCAGTTGAACTCTGACCCGTCTCTTGTAATGATCCAACTCTTGTTACCAGCAGAGTTCTCACGACCGGTGTCAGCCATGTGCGAGAACCATGATGGCATATCCCGCCGCAGCGTCAGTGAACAGCGTCGCCTCCGCAGTCCCTCTGTGGACGAGCAGGAGACCGAGCTGGAGCCCAGTTTGGAGCAGGACGAGGAGGACAAGGACCAAGAGCAGGGCCAGGACACGGATGACGGCAATGTCACTCCAAGCAGAAAGAAAGAGATCATGGTAGTAAAGCTTTCCTGATCGCATTTTTTATGAATTTCTATTGTGCTACAGTTGATTTTTGTCATGTTAGAATTATGGAAGGTCCAAATGTATAGAGCTTTAGCCATCTTGAAGACAACTCTGGCTCAGTTGCGGGGGGAAGGCCTGGACTGCAGGGGTGCTGATAGGTGCAATACAAGCTTCTCAGGCCAATTGAGGCTTATCCAGCAGGGGCATAACGCTGTGGTGGCTTTAGTGGGTTTAGCTTTTACTAACTCTTCTCCTTTCACTCTTATTCACTCAGGCTTATATGCTTACACTGCACTGCTCATAAATCCCGCTGACAGCTTTACAGTTTTTAACCCTTACTCATTATGCTGAGAGATGCAAACTCAAGCCTAGCCCTCTGTTGCTAACATGCTTTTTCTGTTTTTTAACTCTTGCTGGCGATAAGGAGGAGGCTGGGTCACCAGTTGACAGTAAACAGGAGGTATTTGGTGTCTGGTGATTTGGTCTCTGTCTGTCTGTATACCTGTATTTAGCCATCCTTCATTATTTTATATCTGTCTAATTGTATCTCATTGTCTCTGCCTGTCTTCCACTGTCTAACTGTGGCAGTCAACACTGTTATCATATAAAAACTGTGCTGCATTGCACCATATAAGCAAGGGATGCTGCAAAGGTTGTGTCTAGACTTATTTGTCATAGTTAAGCATCCCAGCAAACATTTGACAAGTTTCAAGTAAAGCATAGACTTTTCACAATATGACCCATTAACTGATATAAGAAAGATATTCCTGTCTTGATTTCACAATTTGCAAGAACAGCTATGCTACAAAAACACTTTTATATTGATGGTATATTTGCATACCATATCACAATCTAGTAATTCCAAAATGTCTACTGGGATGTATATTCAAATAGTTTCCAATTTTTTTTTGGCATGGTAGCAAGTGGCTAAATCTAGCCCTCCAGTCTGTCAAGGGTGAAGCCATGGCCACCATAGGCTAAAATCTGGCCACCCCACACAGCACCATATTTCGAGTAACTTTCTTGTGTAGAACCATTTTGTTACTGTTGCACCTCCACTGGTGACACTTTTTTTTAGCGAGTTTCAGTCTGACAGACAAAAATCTGTTGTTGATGCAAGTAAGTACAGAAACAGGAACCAAATTGCAGAAATTCAGATACAAAAGTAATGAGAGCGGCTGCTGCTGAAATAAAATGTCGCTGTTTCTCTCTTATTGCCTGAACATCCAAGACTATCAGGGGCTTATTTTAGATGCGCACATGTTGTTCATAAGCAAACACCATAACCTCTGTACAGCGCCATGACACACAGAGAAAAAAAAAAAGAAAAAGATACTAATTTCTGTGCCACTCCAAAAGGAGTACTGGCCTTGGCCTGGCCACCCCTATGACAGTTGTCTGGCTCCGCCAATGCAGTCTGTCTGCCTGCCTGTCCATTGACTGACTTACCTTCTACCATCCTGTCTCTGCATCTGACCTTGTTCCTGCACTCTCTGACCCTGCACTCTTCACCTCTGACCCCTCTTGTGCTCGCCCATTCTCCTGCCCCAACTCAGCTCTCTCAGTTGGACCAGGAGGCCACGCCTCGGCACCAACAGGAGGTACAGGTTACTGTCTTCAGCCCTTGTGCTTTATGTCGTGTGTGCCGCTGTTCCTCAGCGCCTCTAGTCTTTGGGGTTTTTTTGCAGATTGAGATTTGCCTGCAGCCGCCGTCTTGGATCGAGTGCTATTTGGAATTTTTCTTTTGGAATGTCATAGAGGTTTGAAACATCTGGCAGGAGTGAGCACAGGATACTTTCAGGTTGTAGCTTTGAAAGTCTTGAGTGTTAAAGATAGAAATGAGCCCTTCTCTCTCGTTAAGTGCCTGTAAAGCATCAGTGCATGCACGGTGGTGGGAGAAGTACTCAGATCCTTTACTTAAGTAAAAGTGTACAACAATCTAAAAATACTCCATTACAAGTTAAAGTCAAACTAAAAAAAAAAAAAATAAATCCCCACTACTTTAAAAGTACAGGTATTATTAGCTAAATATACTTGAAACACCAAAATACTAAAAGTAGCCTCTGGTTGGCTCTTTCAATTGAATGTATTAGCATCCATGCAGCCTCTGAAGTACCAATTGAAGTTGTCAAATGCAGCTGAACATCAGTATTCATCATACCTCCTACAAAAAATGGATAATAGAAAATGGTAGTCCAGAGTTCAGGCATTTGCACTTTATTTTAATGTGACATTTTGATTTAATCTTCTCTTAGGTGTTTTGTAAATATGAATCTGCCTGTAAAATAAGATTATAAAAATAGTTAATAGAAAATTACCATAAAAATCAATAATGCATATTTTATGGATAAAATGAAAATGCAATTAAAAAAGTGCAATGAACTGCTGCTGACTGCATTGTTACTCCCCTAAGACACTTTACATTATTTAATATGACATTATGATATCGTTAGTGTTACATTTTAGTGTTGTAGCTGGTAAAGGTGGGGCCAGTACAGTTTGAATGCAGTTAGGTAGTCCAGTGGTTCCCAACCTGGGGGTAGACCCCCTCCAGTGGGTCACAGGATCAATCCGAGGGGTTGTAGACAAACTAAGTATTATATAAGTATACAATAAAGTATTAATTTTTGGACTCTAATCTTTGCTTTCTTATGAAACGCTGCATATTCTAATCCCCCGGGCCTCTTTATTTAAATTAAACCATCTCAGAAAAGTCTCCAAATGTTTGCTGGAACTGCTAACGACTCATACACATCTAAAACAATACAATGTGCTCCAACTTAAAGCTTTTATTGGAAGGCATCACGAACCAAAAGGTTGGAAACTACTCTTTTAATCTTTAACATTCATGTCTGTCTTAAAACAATAATCAGCTGCACACATGAACACTGAAAAAATGTTTCTTGCTGTAATCATTCCTCCTCTTTATAATGGCTGTGACGAGATCCCTTTTTAATTTGCTTCCAGTGGAAGTAATAGGGGACACAAAATCCACAACTCTAGTTTTATGCAGAAGTACATTCTTAATAAGTTAATTAAGTTAAGTTAATTTAAGGTAATTTGAGGCTCAGCAGTCTGAATTAAAGAAGTCCAGTGGGTATTTTCTAGACACTCTTTAGTAAAAGATTCCCTCTTTCTGTTTCCACGCACTGTGCTTCCTTGTTGAGCTGCAGTGGACGGATAGTAACACAAATAGGGAATTTTGCTCTAAAAAGATGGTAGTGTTGGTACCAACTTGATTTGAATAGCTCAGGCTGCTAAAGTCTTGTTTAAACAGTTGTTGGTTCAGATACATTTTGGAACACATTTCTACACAGAAGAAGAAGAACATGAACTTGAGGGATGATTACAGTAAACAAAACTGTTTTAATAGATATATGGGCACCTGACTATTACTTGAAGATGAACTTGAACATCTTATAGCCTATCCTTTAACATGTTGTGATAAGATTAATGTAGTGAAGTGAAAATTACATGCATTTCAATCTGACATGTACGGAGCCCCTAAAGGGACATGGAAAAAATGAAACGTTTCTCGTGCTCACAAGATACTTTCTTGTGCTCAAGAGATGCAGGTGCAGCCTTAAGATGGACACTCATTTGTCCTCTTTTTGAGAAAATAACTAAAAAGGTCCGCCTTTTGACACATTACCTCGTTAGTTTAATACTTATTGGCTAAAAATGTGTGTCAAAATAAGTAATTTCATTGGTTACATTTTCGTGTCAACACATGGCTAATTTTAATATTAAAACTAGCCATGTGTTGATTTGCCACAACACACACTCATGCGCAGTTGTTACCACCAGGCTGTCAATCAAGCTCTCAGCGACAGAGAACGTAACGTTAGCTCTGCAATATACCATAATGCTGAGAATATTCTCAGGCTTTCTCGTGAGCACGAGATAGTATGTGAGCACGAGATACCTTTCTCGTGAGCACCAGATAGTATCTCGTGAGCACGAGAAACGTTTCATTTCTTTTCTTTTTCTCCCATGTCCCTTTAGGGGCTCTGTAGAAATGTATCAGTATTCCAAAAATGGCAATATTCAAAAGTGTACTAAAATTCAGAGGTTTAGTACATGTACAAAGTTACTTCACACCATTTTTATTTCTTCATTTATGTATTTCACATTGAATGTTTTGATTGTCGTGTTCATTTGTGTCTTCAGTTGTAACTATAATCTTTTTGGTTTCATGTGAGCTTCAATAGCATCTTAAGTGTCATTTCTCTCCATGTCCTACAGCACAGAGTAGTACAAGACTAGCATATTCTCTGGTTAACATAAATGCAAGCACTCCACATCCCATCTTCTCCTGCGTGTATGCAGTATTATCTCACATCCCGTTCAGTCGTGCATATCAGATGTGTTGATGTGAGTGCTGCTGCTGAAAAAACATGCCGACGTCCTACTAATGCATTCCCTTTTCTCGTCTCTTCCCTGTCTCTCTCTTCTTTTGTTTTTTTCTCCTCATTCTCATTCAGTTTCTGGATAAGTCTCAGGACTTCTTGCTGAAGCACCAGGCCAGCATCAACGAGCTGAAGAGAACCCTGAGGGAGCCCAACAGCAAGCTGATGAACCGCGAGAAGCGTCTGTCAGCCTCCTCCCCGACAGGCACACCAGAGAAGAAGGCTGTGAGTAGGGGCATAGGCCAGTGGGAGGGGGGCTGGGATCTGTGGGCTGTATGGTCACTGTGGTCAATATCTCAAATCCAGCAACCTCTGATGCTTGACATTCCATTAAAGGGCATTGATATTCCCATCTGGCCACTGTCATGTTGAATTCCTTTTTTTGCTGCTTGACTCGATCAAAACAGGCCATATTTCTGCCATGTGGAGACCCTTTTCTGTGTACTCTCTTTGAATAATTTATGCCTGAAGACATACTTTACCAGTATGAAACATGATGGTTAGTGAATGTAGTGATTGTTGTTTAATATCTCTCCTACAGGCAGTTCAAACATCTCCTGTGCAAAGACACTACTTGCTCATGGGAACAAACATAACAATGTGCAGTTTATTTTAAGACGTGTATGATGAAGTGCATCCTGCCTCTCTCTGGTGTACCAGAATAATTCCTGACAATATCTCAGAGGTACTTGAAGATGACTGACAAGTAGCACAGAGGGTGGCATCTTGATTAGTTTCAAGATGTTTTTTGAGATTTACTCAATGTGAGGCACTTGAGAAATAATTATCGGTTATCTTCTTTTTTTTCCTTGATTGCCTAACAGTGGCACACTTTTCTTTATGCCGGATCACGAAAGCTCTCAAGCTTTGATCACAGTTTGGTAATTAGGCTTTTGAAGATGGAGCACTGAGATTGTAGTCTTCAGATAGGATGGGTTCTGTCTTTGCCGGTGCCTAAGTTGTCTTTAGACAATCTCTCATCTGCTGTCTGGGATGATCAGATTATGCCCATAGAATGTCAAACCTTGTCTGCTGCAGAAAATGTAATCTGCTGTGTGTTTCATTCCAGGTAAAATGGTGGAGGGGTGGTGGTGGGGGAATTATTCTGTTTGACTGACAATCGAAGGCTGGGAAAGTCTCTGTGCTCTTCACTGTTTCCAAGAGATTCAGTTGAACTCAACTCTTTGATGTAGTCACAGAAAGAAATATTTGCAATGCAAATGTCTGCTGATTTGGTTATGTGGATTTGGTGGCTGTCAGGTACACAGGATTGCATGTTTTTAGTTTGAAGTTCATTAAAAAGTTTCTACAGAATAACTTCAGTTAAGTCCTGGTTGCACTTATCCTTTCTGCTTTTCCAATTTTCTCTTTCTCCATTTTGCATGAAATGGTTTATTGTGCATCTCACTTATTTACTCCCTCGTTTGGAGTCTGAGCTCTAATGGCTGTTCTTCCTTCTCTTTTAAACTCTCTCCTCTGCCTCGTGTCGGCCAGTTGGTGGGCCGAGCAGTGGGAAAGGACCCTGTTAACAGCCTGTCTGTTGAGGGTTTCGTCCAGAAGACTCTGGTGACTTCACCTGAGGTTGATCTCTCACTCTTCCTCTTTCATAATGCAGTTTACTATTTATAGCATTTGTGGTTTGGTGAAATACACTGCCTCCCGTGCATTATTATCACTCACACGTCTATCTATTTAAGAACATACTATCATATATTGTACAATGAATCTCTAAATGCATGTTTTCCAAAACTTCACTATGTACCAGTTGTACATTTTGTTTCCTTTTCTGTGATTCAAATGATTTTATTATTTGCAGTAGCTGTGCTTGGCATGTCTAACTGTGTTTAATCTATACCAACATGTAGGGCTCTGAGGAGTGGGTATTGATTGAAAAACAAGAAACTTATCAACAGGACCATGACTGGAAGGCAGAAGAAAAGAACAAATCTCTGTCATCTGATTCCTCATGGGAGAAAAAGGAGCTGGACAAAGAGATAGACATTGCCAAGATGATACATAAAGAGGTAACAGGGTATGACAGGAAAGAAATGAAAAGCCATATTGATGAATTTCGATCAACAAAATCGTCCAGAGAGGCAGATGTATGCTCTGAGCCTCGACCAGCGAACAAAAGTCGTTTTGTGATTCAGTTATCGGAGAATGCGGACTTGCTTCAAGACAAATCTCAAAGTAAACCATCTGAAGCCTCAGACCCTCAGGCAAACAATGATGTGGCCCTGGGCTCGTGCCAGATAAAGGAACGCACAGCTTCTAAACCGAGAAAAAAGAGGAGACCCCAGAGCTTAAACCTGGGAATGCCTGCAGAGCTCATCTACAGGAAAGGAGACAGTGATTCTACTGGAGAAGAAAATGAGGGCTCAGATTCAGACAACAGTCCAGAAAATACCTCTAAAACAGGAAATGACTGTGAGTCATCCTGGTTGGTGATGATGAAAGATGATCAGGGATCAGGAAAAGATCAGTCTGTCAGGGTCTATACAGACAACAAACAAGAGGATATATCAATAGGAGAAAGCAGGGAGGTCTCCAATGAAGGAGCAGAGCAGGTAAAGAGGAAAGTGAGTCAGGTTTGGCCAGCTGATATCGACTTAGGCTCAGTGAACGGACCCGGAAAGGTAGAACATGATAGTTCATTAGCAGGTGTTAAAGGGGAGTGTGTGATGAAGGTGCGAGGGAAGGGCCTTATTGACAACAAAGAGCTAGCTGAGGTGAAACTGCGACAGGTCAGGACACATGAGAGGAAGATCAGTAGTTCTGGGGGAGAGGATATTGAGGGTTTCATTGGAGACAGAGGTCAGAGGACGTCTCTCCACCGACTGTCAGGCAGCAGCTACCAGTCGGAAATCACCAGGATCGTTCCTCTCAAGCCAGAGCGATCAAAGAGCATAGCGTGTAAGGATGAAAGGGACAGGACAGGACAGGACGAGCCCACACGGGCCATGAGAAGAGAGTACCGCTGGTCGGTCGGCTCTCCAGAGGGACCCTCGGACTTCAACTGGACGGATGTCTCCACCCACCTTCCAGCATTCACAGCAGATCTGGAGGGTATCGGTAAAACAGAACATCCTGATGATAGCTATCAGTCCAATAGAGGACCTACAGAGAGTCAGTTGTTCAGCTCGAAGATTTCAGCACTTCCCAAAATGGTTCCCCCAGCCCCGCCAGTGAAAACACAGAAGGCCAGGGAGTCTGGACTAATACTACGGAACAGCCGAAATGCCGGCAGGGAGCCGAGCCTGGACGCAGCCAAGAAGAGACACTCGGTAACTCTGCTTGGCATCTGCTATTCAGTCATTGGAAATAAAGCATCGCATGAGCTTCAGACAGACTCGCACGCCATTTTTCTTTTTTTCTACGTTTTCAGTGACTTGAAACACTCATCCATCTTACCTGTTCGTTCCTGTATGAAGAGCAGGCGGAGCGGTATATTTGCTCAGTCTTGTGGCAAAAACCAATCAAAAAGTTTGGACATTTTCCCATATGGCAACCCAATTTATCCCCTCCCATTGCCCTCTACATGCACCACACTGTCTGGCAAATCTGTACAGCTCACCACTGGCTGTGAAAGTTTAAAAGAGACAAAAATCAATATCTCATGTTTTGGTTGTCGGTTTGTCTTCGCCTTCTTTAACTTGTGAGACTCAAATTTCTTTCCGGATCACGTTGCTCTCTGTCAGAGGGTGGCAGGGAAAGAAAGGCTTACATATTATCATCGCGCTGATGATTTTTGCACATCTCTGTGCCATTTTCAGACTGGAAATACAAAACAAATGATTTATTGCGTACCAATATTACAAATTAAATCACTCATTTGAGGAAGAAAGGGTGAAAAGTACTGCCATTAATTACTTTGTTAGACACAGCTATTATCTCCCAAAACTGGAGATAAATGGAGTACAGAATTGGTTTGTGCATAAACGATTGAGAAACTGCACCACCAAATTGATTTGCATCTATAGAATTACAAAATGCTACTTCAGATTGGTGATAATAAATCATGAATCAGATAATTTTCCTGTACCCTACCTGGATTGAAAGCTAAGCAGTGTTATAAACACACTGGTTCCTCCAACTGTGAAACCCCAGCAGGCAGTGAGCAGCCAGACACCACAGCTCAGTGCCTGACACAGTCAGATTTGCTGCTTTCATTTCACTGTTGGTATCATTAGGAGCTTGCACGCGTTTGGCACTGGAATGAAAGGAATTTGAAGTGAATAGACATGACAGCTTTCATCATTTCCCACCTTTTCATCTGAGTCGAGCTCTTGCATATATTGGATTAAATAGGCATGAGAAGAGGTGTTGCGTAGCTCTCAGTGGCGAGTGACAATAGTATCAAGATCAGATTAAACTCGGGGAGAGTGTGGGAAATATTAGGTGCTCCTCCAAACATGCGGACCCACTCACATTTTGACAGGCTTTGAAATGCACCCCGGCACCTTTTATTGGACATTTAACAATATTATTTGACAATATTTGAATACTCATTGAAATTCACGATGCGTAGTGTTGCATCACTTTCTCAGATGGTCAATGAGTGGCTGCTGCTATGCTGAAAACCTGCTCATTATACAAACTGCATGATTCTCTTGCCCTGCCTCTGCTAATTCTAACAAATAAACCCGGCCATAGATGTTGCTTTTGTTGCAGTAAGCTCACCTCTTTTCTGTCCTCTAAACTGTATTGCTGTATGCTATGTCACTGTAGAGTAGGGCTTGAAATTTGTGCCTGAATCCATTTGGACCTGACTGGATCTTAGCAGACCCAGTGGGCTTAGATTGGGTCTGGCTGAATTTCTCACCTAAACTTGGGTTTGAGTCATTAAAAAAACCTAATTATTAGCTGGTTGGCTACATTCAGATTTGGAGTATTACTACTGAGCAGTAGATCAGGATCCCAGTTTAGGTTTGGAGTGAAATATTTTGCGCTCAGAACACACTGAGCTCATATTTTGCGCTCAGAACACACTGAGCTCATATTTTCAGGCTCCAGTCAAGCTCTGCTGGTAGGATTTCTGTTTGTGTAGTGTCAGTCCACTGGCCACTTCAGCTTGTGCTAACCTCCACATGCTCTCTGTGCTCTTCCCTCTGCTTCCCCCTGCAGGAGCCTGTCTCTACTCCTGCCATTTATGAAGAGCCGTTTGCTGATTTCAAGGTTATTAATTTGTATTTAAACCCACCTTCATATGTTCCACCCATCATCTCTTTTCCTCTTTGCAACCCTTAAACTGCATGCCTCCTAACTGACTGCACCGGTTTCTCTGATGAAGTGTGTTACTTTTCACTGGCTACTCATCCATCACCATGATCAGAGTTTGAATTTCATCTGTGTGTTGTTAACAGAAGCCCTTGCGCATAATGTCGTTTTTACTGTGATCTAATTACCTTGTGTACTTGTAATTAATGTAAGTGGCATCACTTTAAATTGGCTGCCTCAGGAGCTTCATTGTAATTCAGTAGCTCCCAACCTTTCAGCTTGTGACACCTTACAACAGAGCTATTTCGCTTCTGACCCCTTGTCACAGCTTGCATGTCAATTCAGCCAAAATTTTGTTTTGTTCTCTTGTTTTATTCAAAAGCCTTTACACACTTGTTTCCTCCAAAGGCAGAGTAGTGACCCAGAAGATTTACATTTTCAGATTGGGGAACTGTGTAACAGATAGAAAGGTTGTAATGCCTTCGTTTCATGCCGTTTTAGATCGATTATTCTGTCCAAAAAAAACATTATCATAGAACCTACTTGATACCTAAAGATGTAAATACTGCACTATTGGATAAAATCCTTAAAGAAATTGCATTATCGACCAACAACGTGTTCTTCTAATTCATTTAACTGAAGGAAATGAACTTTATTCTGATCGTTTACATAAATAGTTATTAAATGTGTCTCTATTTTGCTAGTCGTCTAGCTGTCCGTCTACTATAAATATGTAAAATGAATGAATTCCACTCGTCAACAGCTGAGATGGCAGCACCAGAGACCTGCTAAGCTAGTTAGCATTAGCATGAGTTTAGGGTTAGCAGGGCTTTTTAATCATCATTGTATTTAGCTGCTACCTCATTTAGTTATGTGGAATCATCAAGTGAATTCAGAATATCGCAGTTCAATACGATGTACGTTTTTTTAGCTATGGAAAAATGAATTAGGTGATTTAGTTTGAGCTAAATCCATGGCTATGTATGGTTAGCAAGCCAGAGTGCATTTACTACAGTTTGGCTAGGTATTTATCTTTGTTGCTTTCACAGAAATCATACATTTCTATGGCATAATTTATTTCAATTTATTTTTTTAGCATTTTTTGATGGTAAAATTGACATTCAAACAAAAAAGAAAAAAGAAAAAAACATAATCTGCATGCAGTAAAACATTTCCTTTACTTTCTCTTAGTTATCTTGTGGCCCTTAGGGTGTCCCAACCCCTAGTTTTGGAGCCACTGTTGGAACCACATTCAACATTTCATTTCTGATGATTGCATGCCCTATGATTTTCTAATGTATATGGAGTAGGTTGTACATTGCATGTATAATGTTTTTGAATTTGGATCCTCCGTGAATCCTATCAAATACGTCACCCTCAAAAATCAGAACGATACTTCCATCCCATTCCATGCCATCCTCATCATCCACCCGCCTGCAGTTATGTAACCTTAGAGTGGTGATCCTATGTCTGTACCCGCCCCAGAAGGAGCTCGGGGACAGGAGGCCCCCACCGATCATAACCTCAGAGGAGGAGCAGGAGCGGGACACGGTGGCCTGCATGAGGGAAACCCACCTGGGCATCGAGCGCAAGTGCTCCAGCATGACGGTGAGCTCCACGTCCAGCCTGGAGGCTGAGGTCGACTTCACCGTCATCATGGACCTCCACTCCAGCGTGGATGACTTCTCTAAGGGCATGTCGGAGCTGGGAGAGAGGGAGAGACAGCCCGAAGTTGGCCGGGAGGACTTTGAGGAGACCTCCAGGTTCTACTCAGCCCGTCTAATGGGCTCCCGGGACAAGTCTCCCATGGAGGAGAAGCTTCCTGAGGAGGGAACACATCATGAGGTAGACAGATGAATGTCTTCGTCCTTCATCATCATTACCCGCTGGATTCACCCTGCCTGGCTGGACTTGGACTTTTTTTTTGGACCATTTGCCATTGTTTGACTTTTGTTATATTATCTTCATGTTTAATTTTGTTCAAAACTCTCCATGTTTTATTCTCTTTGATGTATTGTCTCATAAATGTTTCAACCGTTTTATTTTTGTCAGTTGCGTCAGTGTTTCTTTGAATTCCCCTGCTGCTGCATCATCATTTGCATGCTGTCATCAAGCCCAACAATTCAGTAACATCTATTTATTATATTTTTTGTTCCTTTTAAGTTAGAAGTGCTCGAATGCTTTTGTTTGAAATATTTGCTGCTCGAAAGCAATGCTTCGTTATTCTAAAGTCTTCAGAGGTCTTGCTGTGAAGAAATTGCTTGATGTTGCTAAACTGTACTGTTTGTGTTTCATACAGCCTCCTGTGGCAAAGAAAGACCCCAGTGCTGTGAGCGTGGCCCATATGCTGAAGAGGTCCGACAGCAAGATGGAGACACATACGAATGGATCAGAGATCCACCCCAACATCATGAATGTCTCACCGAAGGTAAACACATTCAAGAGTTCGACTACTGGTCGAACTCTTTCGCAAGAATAAGTGTATTTCAAATTTTTAAATGTATATGTTTTATTTGTTTGGATTGATCATATATGTAATTTCTCTTTTGCTCTGGTTCTTTTTCTCTATTTCATATATCATATTTTATACATGAATGTTGATCCATTTTAAGCTACAGTATTGCTAGAAAGTGTGAGGCAAATATCATCAGAGGATCAATCAATCAATCATCCAACAAATAGACTTGCAATGAAGAATTTAATATTTCTCTATTTGGAGATGGAAGCATTTTCTTTGGGCTGCGGTGACGTGAAGGCCATATTCCCCTGACAGGGATTACATAATAGCATCATTATGGAGTGATTAAAGTATTGACAGTGTATTAATGAGGATGATGAAAGCAGGTGCGAATCCCATTCATCTCCGCAGGCAAAGATTTGAGTGCTGGCTGGCGGTCCCACAGGTGCCTTATTAAAATGTAATCATTGCTGGGCTCTTTAGCCATTCAGCTAATGGCGTGGATGAACTCAGGCAATGATGTAGAGAGGGTGCCTTTGAAGTGCCAGATCACTGTTGAGGCAAATTTTCTAAGATGTCAGAGTAAGACACAGCAGTGTGTGTGTGAGTGTGTGTGTGTGTGTGTGTGTGTGTGTGTGTGTGTGTGTGTGTGCGTGCGTGCGTGCGTGCGTGCGTGCGTGCGTGTGTGTGTGTGTGTGTGTGTGTGTATGTATGTGTATGTGTGTGTGTGTGTGTGTGTGTGTGTGTGTGTGTGTGTGTGTGTGTGTGTGTGCGCGTGCGTGTCTGCAGCCAATGGATGACGACGTCATCGATGGGCAGACAAAGATCTCCAGCACCAATGTTGTTCAGCCAGCAGAGGGAGTCATGTCACGTGTGTTGACTTTCTCAACAACAGCCGCTGCCAGCTGTCTGCATGTCAGTGACAGGCTTTGAGTCTGGGTAGCATTGCCGCCAGAGTAGTAAAGGGAATTTGTTCAGCTTCCTTCATAATCAGTTCATTAACTGTACACATGCTATTGGTTTGATTGTCAGTCGTGGATATGAAAGAAGATGTCAATATAACGGACTACACTTACATAAAGCTATAGACATTATGTCTTATGTCTGTCTTTTTATAGTCTCATGATTGTATGGCACTTCAACTGATTTGATAAAATAACAATGAAATTAGAACAGTGGAGTACATTTGGATGTAATAGGCCAAATACCACACATTAGAAGCACTCAAATAGATCCTTTAAAGTGAGACTGTGTAGCCTTTGCAGGACAAATTATCTCCCACTTATAAAATCATTTTCACAAGCAATAAAACACACTCTAGCGCACTCAGTTCAATACACTCAGGAATTCTGCTACAGCGTCCCTTGTAGCTTCTGGTTATGTTTGGAAACTGATCAGCCTTGTTGCTGACTTTATGACTCCATGCTTTAGCACGTCACAGATATTTTATTTTCTCTTTGTTTTTTATTGTATGTATTTCAGTGGCGTAATCACAAAAGTACTGAAAGACATGAAGTAAACACCTCACCAAGAGATATGTTTGTTTTTTCCTGCCTGTGGCTCATAGACCCGTTTCACAGCAGACACAGGTGTAACTAATGACATTAACAGCGGCTCCGGTGAGCCCCGTCAATGAGCCAGCAGTAACAATAGACCTTTGTCACGGCAGATATTTTTGACTTGAAAAGCACAGGTGAAACTAATTTTGTTAACGACGGCTCAGTTCCATTAAGTGTCACAGTGAGCCATGGCAGTGAGCCAGCACGAACAATACCAGGACCCTTATTTATGTTATCAATTACACCTGTGCTTCTCCCCGCAGTGAAATGCCAAAATGTCTTCGGTGAAATAGGTCTGTACCAGGGTGCAGGAATTGTAACAACATTTTATTAAGGTTATTAATTACAGCAACATGAGAAAGGTTTCCATACTAGATAGTGATTCTAAGCTGGTGTTCACTACATACTTAACTGTTCAAACTAGGAAAGTTACTAGAAAAGTTACAAAATAAAGCACAATCAAAGCAGACAGTGCATACTCAATAAAGGAGCAAAGGGAATGGAGGAGCTCCTCATAAATCTTGGACATTTTTTTAAATAAATGATATGTGGAGGGGAAAATCTTGGTTAAACAAAGTATTCTGAAAAACATTTTGATGTCTCTTCATGAAGTGAAATTGCTTTCCTAAATCGCAGTTGATTGGTCCATCATCGCACATATTGTATCCTTTCCAGTTAGTATAAAATAGTATATTAATAAAGTATGTTCATATTTTTGTACATACTAGCTGCTAAAACTGATTATGACGAATATGCTGATTGAAGTAATGCTTCTTTGTATGCTCACTTATTGTATTTATTTGATGCAACTGGACTTACTTCATATTAGGAGGTTAATAAACCGTGCCCAAAAGTCTCATTACTGTAAATCACATTGTTTCTCTCTACTTCAGAACTATGGAGTCGTCAGCCCGCGGGAGGCTCCTGCTGCCCTGAAAGAAAACGGCTCCCCGGTAAGTATATTTACAGAAGAATTACACCAGTGTGACAGCGTGTGTGTGTGTGTGTGTGTGTGTGTGTGTATGTGTTTATGGTGGCAGTGTAGAAACTCCAGCCATTGTGCCGTTGCTGTCCACTTTAGTAGCCTCGACCTTTACGTCATTCAGTATAAAAATGAAAAAGGGTTAGAGAAGAACATTTCTGCATTGTGATCCGTGTGTGTGAGTCAGATGTGTGCCACAATACTGGCATTTGATGTCATGGTAATGATTTAGTTTTATGAAACAGGGAATGTGGGAGTGAAAATTTAGATAAGCAGGTGCTGCTACCAGTGATTGGAATAATACGTTCTATTTTTATTTTCCTGTCAATGGGTAAAATTCCAATTAACAGAAAAGCCTGCTTTACAAACTGAAGGTGTGGTGTGTTAAAGGTTCCCTGTGGACCTTAAGACCCCTCTAGCTAGTCAGAAACAATGGAGGATTTAATAAATGGGCTTTGCTGATGTTTAATGAGGATGAAATGCATACAACATGTGTTACAGCTCAATGACACACATAATGTGTATTAGTGAGTAACACTGACTGTAACTCCACAGGGCGCCTTTAAATACATGTCAGAAAGGCAGAACAAAAGCCAAATTATGGGAAATGTAGTTGCCTTTGACTCACAATAGGGGCTAAAAGTCAGGATATTTATATACGTTTCTTGTGATTCAGTATTGCACTTTCATAAAGTTGGGGGAAACTTTATGGAAGTGCAATACAGAATCACTGGAGTTGCTCTTAAACGGAGAGATGCTTCTGTCTCTCTGACGTTTGACTCATTCTCTGGGTATAGGAAGTGAGGAAGTGTCTGACACACATCACATCGATGAAGTGTCAGAAGGCTCTCTCCACTATCTCGGCCTGTCACTACAATGTAATACAAATCCAAGGGCAAACTCAGACATTACTTATCTAAAATTTTCTAAAATAACATCTATTAAAGGGCCAGTCTTGGCTGTGTCTTCAAAAAAGCAGCACATAGTAGTGTGATTATTTTCATGCTTTAGAAAAGTGCAGATTGTTTTACAAAAGTGATTAGTTCATAAAAGCTGTAGCATTAGTGTGAGTCAGCCATGACTATGTGCTTGTGCCATTTCAAGCAGATGGTAGAGTGTGCTTGTTGTCCAGATTATCAGGCAGACAAAGACCCTGATAACATTCTCTACTAGTTTCACATTCACTCGGATTCAAGGGCTGTGCTTACACACACACACACACACACACACACACACACACACACACACACACACACACACACACACATTATTATAACAACACAAAATGCAGTGTTGTCAAACTATCACAAATCGGTGTGTGTGTGTGTGTGTGTGTGTGTGTGTGTGTGTGTGTGTGTGTGTGTGTGTGTGTGTCTGTGTATCCCTCCATGTGTATGACTCTCCTCTAATGAATGTGCTTTAGGTAAAAGCTGTCACCCAGGAGAGGGAGTCTGTTGTGTCCCCACTGACCATCACCGCTGAGAGCGTCACCTCAGCAACCACAACTCAAGTTACCAAGGTAACACCTTATCTGTTCCCATGGCTACAGTTTAATGACTGGAGCTTGGAGTCAGTGTCTTATGGCACACTCCTAAATATGTCTCATCCCTCCTTGTCGACGTGTTGGAGTAGCTGGTCAAATAAAAATTAATAGATGTAGATAATTAGATTTTTTATTGACTTATTGACTATTGAAGGAAAAAACGTTTAAGAGTCAGTTGCCACACAGTGTAATGTTACAATTTAATAAACTACAATATATCTATATTCATTCTAATAACATCTTGTGTTTTTTTCCAGACACAAGTACAACACCTCTGTTTTTCTGTTACAAGTTAGACACTGTAAAACAACAGATTCAATCCGTTTCCACTTCATTAAAGATTTTATGTTTGTTCTTACAATAACTGTCTTAACTGAGAAAATTATCTGGTGCACAAAGATAAACTTGGTGCGTCTGAAGACAAAGAATCAATACAGAAACACCACAGTGATGAGTTTTTTGCAATACAGATGGAGATACAAATACAATAAAAACAATGGTACCTTTGATTACCATGTTTGTCATCCGTAGAGTGGAATTCTTGATTGCTGGGAATGAGCAAATGATTAATTCATTGTATTTTTGTATGCGTTCTGCAGACTGTGAAAGGGGGCTACTCAGAGACCAGGATTGAGAAAAGGATTATAATCACAGGAGACGATGATGTGGACCAGCATCAGGTAAGTTTTACAAAACGACTGGAACAACTGGCACTGTATGCTCAATAAGTCATAAGGCACAGGAAGCTTATATGTAAGGTTTATGACCCATGATGCTTTATATCCCCAGGCCCTCGCTATGGCGATCCAAGAGGCCAAACAGCAGCACCCCGACATGCTGGTGACAAAAGCAGTGGTTATCAGGGAAACAGAGTCTCCCACTGAGGAGCTGCAGCAGAGGGCAGAGGTATGTGACTGTGATAGTGTTGACAGTCTGGTCATGTGATCAGAGTGCAGGTTACAAGATGACTATGGCTCAATGGATCAATTACTGAACGGGGTCAGGGGCCCCTGGGCTAGAGCCACACTTCTAAGTGACTATTAGACATTTCTTGTTAGAATGTCAATCGAGCTACGAAGTACAAAGAGAAGAAAAATGACTACATAGAGAAAAAATACCACAAAGACATGCACAATGACTACAAGGATGGAAGAAAATGACCCCAAAACGACAAAGAACACCACAAAAAGAAAGAAAAACACCACAAAGAGATCCACACTGACTATAAGGACACAAAGACTCAAAACAATCACAAAGATTCTTTCACTCTGGGTGTCTTACTCCTATGTAGGCTTATTGGGGGGCCTTTTAGATGTGTGTAACTAGGAGCCCATTGTCTCATTTCTATCATGTTCGTGTGTGATGACAGATCTGTGTGCTGTTGTGTCATTGCAGTCCTGATTGGTCATGGTGGCTCCTGAGACGGGGGGACAGTACGCCACCAACCCGACATGAGGACTATCTACCCCGCCTGTGTACACACCAACACGAGAACAGACTGCGTTCCATGAAGCAGTAGACCTCCACTCCTGTCCCTTTAGACAAACCAACTGTGACTCGGCCTCTCACCAGACCCGGCCTCCTGTCCTGTCCCGGCCCCGTCCCAGCCCTCCACCTCCTTATGGAACAGGAACTGTCTTCTATTGGATGATTTACCACTTGGTGGAGTGATGCAAGATTGAAAGTGAAACCCGGTCACATCTTTTACTGTTTGAATCCACCTCTGTAAGAGTCATTTGAAACTTTACTTGCATATTATTTAAGTATTTAATCAAATACATTTTGACTCCTTTAGACCCTGGGGGTCATTTGTATCAAAGAGTTTTCAACCCCAAACTCCCCCCAGCCCCAATACCCTTTCCTCACAAATTACGTCCCAAATATGGGCCCTGTGCTACTGTCACATATGATATGAATACGATATAGGAGCAGGGGAGGGTTGAATAAAAGGATGGGGACCGTGCTGGTGGTGGAGGGGTGGGAAGGGGAGGTTGGTGCCAATTGGCGTGAGGCAGCCTTTTGCTCGTTGTTGCCACCTCCTGGTTGTGACACCTTCAGTATAATCAACAGCTGTCTTATTAGCTTTTTACATTTTTATCTATAGAGGGTCTAATTTATGTCCTGTGTTCGCTTGTTTATGAAATATGTATAATATCAGATGATTATAATCTGCATGATTCAATTACAAAATAGCAGAGGGAATGAAAAAAGTAAAAAAATACACGGACATGTCCACATTTTAAATCCATGAGAAGCTCTGAGATGATGGGACTGAGCATGTGTGGAGAAACTAAACACCACTGCGCCACTGAGCAGTGGACACACAGTGATCTTGATGGACTCTGCTGAAGAAGGACAGTTGTGTAACACTTCAGCTGGCACTCAGCTTTGGTCCCAGTCTCCAACGTACAAACATTACTGTCCTCGTCCCGTTCCCCCCGCTCACTGTTACCGTTACCGTTACCGTTACCGTTACCGTTACCGTACCATGTTGGTGTCAACTCGCCATCTGCATAAAGAAACGCTGGTCACATGTTTTGGGCACAGTTATAGGATTTTTAGAGAAATTTTAATATAAATAATGTTTTATCTAATAAGTTTCAGAAATGTTTCCATTTGTTTTTTCTTTGATTTTACTGACTTCCATCATGAAACAGAGTTTATTTGTTATTCTTGTGTTTTAGGACGTTTCAGTCATCATGTGTGAACATGCTGGAACCTCTCTCTGAAAGAGGTTTTTTTGTGCTGTTACTTTGCTCGATGCTGCGTTCCACTGGAGATCTTAAACATCTCACCAAAGTTAGAAACAAGTTTGACTTTGTGAAGATGTGATGCAATCAAGAGAAATACATAGAACTGGGGAATGAGTCTTTGGTTATTAACAATCTTGACAATAATCAATATCAGCATCATATCCATTCCTAGAACCTGATAGCATAGATATGATAGATTTTTTTGACAGTGCAAGAAGCTGTAAACATTGATATATTATAATGGCAGATGTGTTAGCATACAGTTGTCTGTTTAAACATTCAGCAGACACGGAACAACATTAGTATTCAAGGATGGAGTCATGTTTCCTTCCACCTGGTGAATGTAAGTCCAATATTCACTCTTTTCAGGGAAATATTTAGCTGCTAAATTCTCCACTATGTCCATCACTATGTTGCTAACTTTGTCTGCAGTGTGGTGCTGACTAGAGTGACCCAAACCAGTAAAGTTGCGGGCCATAAAAAAAACCAAAACAATGCGCTCAAGGTAGTGTTTAAGCCTCTTAGGCTAAGTGCTGAGGGAAACCACAGCGTCAGGTGGTAGCTCACTCTGAGTTCGTTGCCAACAGCAACACCTTTCACATTATACAAAGTCATATGATTCATTTGAATTGTAAAATATTTATCATAGCAGCTTCAATCAGCAAGCGATGTTAGATTTTCCACTTTTGAATAATATGTGCATGTTCACAAACACTGCCTGAAAAGTTCAAAACCACAAGATTAACATGGGTACTGTTTTGTTTTCTGTTGGATTAACTCTTTTCATTTTTTATGGTGTATGAGTTTGTAATTGTATTTATAGGAGTGGTGAATGTGAGGCCTGTGCTTTTCCTCCCCGATCCCCTTCACAGACAAAGCCGAGACTCATAGTGTGACACCCATGAAGCGCCGTCTACCCACAGAAACGTTGGCTGTCACGTAACATATATCCTGGATGACCTTTAATACTATACTATGCATCACTTATCATACGTACGAATCCCTCTGATGGAGCCTGACCCATGTTAGACGTGTTGCCGTCATTGTTAACTTTGTGCTACTGTTCACTGAAGCAGTGAAGCGCACTGCTTGTGAGATTTGCAATAAGCAGCCATTATTCTTATCCTCTGTCCTCTAAAGGGAGAAAACTGTGAACTCTCATGCGTACCGAATCTTAACCAAAACCTATAACACAGAGTTATTGATATTCAAAGTTGCTTATCCAACACTTGTGACCATGGCTTTGTCGCCCTCGTCGTCTAACCCTCCCATCCCCTGACTTGAAACTGTCGACCTGCTGTTAATGTGTCTGAGGAAACAAGAGATTCCCAAACTGATTATTTGTATATTCTATTTTGCTCTGTTTTATGTTTTTTTTTTGGTCATATGACACTGGACTGTTGTGAAGGCACTTGCTTGCAGTGATAGCAGCTCATATACTGTACACTGTTGGGAAAAATGACCTGTCTTTGCTGACACACTACTGATGGAAGAGGAACGACTGTAGGCATCGGGAGAGAAGCTGTGTGCTGTGGGTGAGGTGGTGAGTTGAAGGATGGAGGGGCTGTATTTATATATAAAATCTCCATACTACTGTGTATTATCTTGTAAACTATGTAGAAATTAAGAAGAGCCAGGAATGTGTTTTTAAGTTCAAGGGATGAGGCAGTAAGTATAATCCGAAGGACGGCAGTGCCATGAATGGGTGCCTTATGTTTGGAGTGGTGGGTTATGGGAGCAGGAGCTATCAGTGCTCTGCTGAAAGTGCTGTTAATCACCACAAGGCAGATGTAAAAACGACCTCTCCTATCAGTCCAAGGTGAAGAGGAGCTGTCATGGAAGTGAATTACTGTCTTGTAAAGAATGTGACATTGAGTGTATTGACAAACGAAGTGTCTCTGAATCCGGACTGTTGGTCCTCAGCAAGATGAAAACATTAATTGGCCCCATTATCGTAGAAAAAAAACAGCATAGTACAGATTATAGATATGAGCTTTTTTTTTTTCTCCGTGAAGAGCATCAAACTGCTCCCTGTTTAGCCTCCACCTTCAATTCTCCACTGCCTTTTGCTCTACATTCCCCTAGTGCTTGGTGGTGTGTATTTGCTGTATTTGCATTCAGTCTAAATGGAAAACATACATGCATAAATAAATGTCTCAGTATGATTCAAACACTGTCTCTGATTCTGAAAAGAGGGGAGAGGGATTTCACTTTGACTTCTATAATGAAGAAGAGAAACTTGGGAAAATGTATTCTTGTTTTTACTTATTGATGTGGCTTTTTCATACATAAATAATTCATCATATGTAATAAACAGTTGTTTTTTGTAATATATGGATGGATGGCTGGATGGATTCTTATTGTAATGAAGAAAAAGCAAAATGATCTTGTTTTGTATTGCCATCTTGTGGCCAAATTCAGCATATAAACTTTAACTGGACTGAAGTTAATTGCATGCTCTTAGTGCCATCTAGTGTATTTCCTGCAACCAACAAACTTCACTCAAAACATACATTTATAGAAAATGCCATTCATTTACAGCATTTATATGCCATTAAATGAATGTTATAACAGAATATATACAGAAGATTGACTACTTTGACCTCTATTCTTAAAAGGAACATTTCTCAGTTTACTAGACATGAGGAATGCTACAAAGCCTTTGCAAAACAGTCTTCTAAAGGAGCTTTGTCGAGTCCGAGAAAATACTCCCCGATGTATCATAGTGATGTCATAGGGTTTTGAGACTGCACATTTTTGTCAGAAAGCCTGTTACAAATTCGGGATGAGCTGTTTAAAAGAAGAGATGGTACAATGTTGCATTATGGGAAATGTAGGATCCAGTGTTTTTGGAACTTAATTCAGGACTAAAAGTTGGGACATACAGTACTAAATGAATGGGATACACATTTTAATCTATGAAATAAAGATATATAAATAATAATGTATCTAGCCCCCTTTAACTGATAAATCCTCATATTTTGTGTCATTCGATTAAATTGTATTCCGAACAAATGCCAAGGCCAGAGGAAGAATACTCCTATATGTCAGTTCTCACATAGGTCATATATATTGACGGACAGACCAACAGAGCTCGACATTGTTCTATAAATCAATAAACTTTATTAACACAGTATAAACAACAAACAGCAACAGAGGAAACCCTCATGTAGAGCATATATGGACAGAAGACCCAGTACATCTCAGAGGGGCTGACTGAGACAGAAGCATAGACATGGGGCTGACCATGGTTCAGAGTTCATGGTACACACACAGTATACACAAACCTATCAGATGCATGAATCTTGCATGTTCCTAAAGCCATTCAGTCGGTTTGCAGATGGACAGAAGAGAGAGGACAAAGTACAGTCATGCTGAGCAACAGTGAGCTACAGTATGAAACAGAGTCATTACATAAAAACATCAAGTAAATCATCTCTTTAGAAAGGTTCTTTTATATAAATGATTCGAAGTGTACAAAACAGTATATTACACATTTCTTGATGCATGATTCTGAGCAAGACCCAGTAGCCTACAGTACACTTCCCTTCAAAGTACAAACTACTTAACTGGATTACAAGCTACATACAGACTGCACTGTACCTCTGTAGCACAGCACTCCCACATGGCATCAGGAGACTATGGGAAAAGAAAAGGTCAGCAGCATCGTCTTTTATTAAGAATACACACCTATAAAAATGCACCAGGCCCTCGTATATTGCCAATATCCCATGCGAAACAGCAGAATGCCATTCAAACTAACCTTACTAGCCTCAAAATTTCAGAAAGGATGCTGGCCCGCCCCTCGCCCCTCCCCCAAATCCTGACCACAAACAATATCTATCAACACAGCAGCATGTAAACATCACCGCGGCTGCTTCATAGTTCTATGTTTCTAATGTTTTTGATATACATATGATAAGTTAAGGCTCTTTAAGGACCTGAGGATTTTGAACATATGATGAGGCACACAGAAGGCAAAGAATAGCTCTAGACACAGGGCTAACTGAAAGAATGAGGAGCATGAGACAGCCACAAGGGTGGTCCGGTCACCAGTGCAGTTCAATGGCCATGGTCAAGGAACCCAGGGGAGATGCTCTGCAGAACAGCATTTCTGGTTACAAGCTCGGTAACTATCACGTGAATGGCTTCATGGACTCCATCGACTTTTTGCGAGTTCTTGGTCACCTTCCTGCGAGAGGACTGGCACCAAAAACATGGCCTACTATCGTGTTAGCATCCAGCAAAGTATAAAGGTGTGGGATTTCTCTCTTTGTTTTCATGCCATATGTACAACAAATTTTAGAAGGCCTTTTTGCACAGAACAAGGACTGTGGATTTTGTCCCCCATCTTAGCAATGTGATCATACTGCGAAGGGCGAGTATGGACAGCAGGAATGATTGCCACAGCTCATAACCAGCGTACATATGGTATGTGAGCATTGCATTAAGACAGACTTGACAAAAAGTCCTAACCAATCCTTTACATAATTCGTGCCCGATAGCATTAACTAAAAGTTAATATTGTTTTTAATTGTGCATTTTATGCAAACTTCATGACATATCAAAACAAGTCCACCTCACTAGTGAAATCCTTTGTGAATTGACTTTAACTGGCTAATTTTGTCCAGTTTGCTAATTGTAATGTTAGCATACTGGCTGGAGACAGATGATTTTAAATGCTAATCCCCTCTTCACATACAGTACTTGGTAAGGTGACCAAGAATGACAAACACCCAACATGTCCGTGCAGTCCTTTGAGTGAGAGATTGCAGAAACAGAAATGCAGAAATGTGACAGATAACAGTTAATAGTTCATTCACTTGAAGAAAAAGAAACAACTGACTCTGGTTTGTTAGAACCAAAGTTACACGTATTATCTTACTTTAGAAGACAAAAGGTGTGCTGTCAAATCACATTCTTAACCTCCAGACTGGAAAATTCGATGATGTTGTTTGCCATGCACTTAATTGCTCTCGCCCCAGTAAGCCCAGACCGACTTCAGATTGATTAAGAAAAAAAAAATCTATAAAAGCTCAACATGTCATACAAAAAGATGCATATAAGACATTTTTCTCTTTTTTTCTTATGAAAGCTGCTTTGGTAACAACATAGTCACGACATCGGTCAATCTCCTTTACTTTGCCTGGGTGCTGAAGGGGACTCCTTCCCTGTCATCTCAATGGCGTATTTTTTTTTTTTTTTTTCGTCAGCATCTTCCTTCTGCCTCTAATATCTAAATGAATGGATCTAGTTACACCAGAGTGGGCTGTGTTTGCGTTCCACCGTAGAGCTGTCTGCACATCAGATGGGAGATCTGCTGGGAGCTGTTTGTCATAAAGATGTCCGCGCTGTGAAAGACAGAGCTATTGTGCTGAGGGCTGATAGAGTGGAGACCTTGGATGCTGAGCCGACTGCGTTGGGGCCTGAAAAGGTATTGAAAAGAACGAAGATGTTAGACCTCTGAAAAAAAGAAACCCCACACAGACTTTGGCATTTTATTCCTTTAATCGGCAGCCTCCCCAGCTTGCTTTTGTAATTTTCAGCTGAAAACATTCATTTCCAAAAATGCTTGAGAGTTATTACTTGAGCAATGGAATGAGACATTGAAAGTATTCTAAATAAATTGCTCAACTTTGATGCAACGCTTCCATTATAGTTTCGCGCCATAATTACATAATGTCTCATGTAGCACATTATTTTCCCACTCTCTCTGTTCCTTTGGAGATGATGATAGCTAATCTGTTCTGGCAAGACAGCAGCAGGGGAGTGGATTATTCAGCTCAGCCACGAGGGAGGCACTAACTAGCTCTCCACTGACCTGGTATCCTTGGGATGGTGATCTGCCTGCTACTGCTGCCTTCCCCTCCCTCTCCAAATGGCTTTATCTGGATGATATAATCCTCATCAGTGGGCAGGGCGAGCTCCACAGAGGTGGTGTTGGTTTCCATGACGTTGGGGCGGCTATGTCGATTCTTCTTGTACAGCACCTGAGGACGAATGGGACGAGTCAAGTCAAGAGTCAGGAACCGAAGCCATGGCAACAAACACAATTTTCTGATAAAACCAAGCGACTGGGTGCTTACTTTGTAACCAGTGACCTCTGACTCATTCTCCAGGGCTTTGACCTGCTCCCAGTTCAATATAATCTTGGAGTTTGATGTGTTCCACATCACTTTCACCGGTGGCTGACTGGGTGCTGAGAGGAAGAAAAACACATTATTGACCTCAAACAAAAGCAGACCAGTGGCAGGGTAGTTATAATTAGATCGAACACTTACGTGGCTTTTTGGTGGTGACGTTGACAGCGGCGCTGGGAGGCCCCGTTCCAGCAGTGTTATACGCCCTCACTGAGATGTAATATGTGGTACTGCCTTTCACACCGCGGATAATAGTAGACGTTTGATTTCCTACAGTCCTTTGCACACTGGCTGTGTCTTCCTTTTCACTTCTACTCCAGTACCTCAGCTGAAAAGCAACAGGGCAGAACCATAGACGTGAACGCAAAAAACACAACAGACACCTTAAAAGCTTTCTGTTACACCCTGTCAATGAAGTGCAAACTGGAAACAGGGAGATGTGAACTCAACTGGATGGAAGCTGTGAACTGGTCTGAAAACAAGCTTTAGCAACATGTCACTTAATGTAGCCCATGTACCTTTTGCTCACCGTGAACTACGTGCCTTGATTGTGCTCATCAGACATGTGTCATGGTTTAAGTTATGTGGTAAAGAATATGCAAAAGGAGAAAAAAAAAGGAAAACAAAGAAGAAAAAGAATCCTCAAAAATCCCCTGCCATCAACTTCTACTGATAACAGATTTTCTTTTTTTTCCTTTGTCACCCTGCTTGTCAGGGCTGAAATAGCTGGCACGCTTGACAGCACAAATATAATTTGCCTTTCCTCACAGGAATGGTTTGCTCAGGCCCTGCTCCTCTGTTGACTTTGAGTGGTCAACAATTTATAATTCTGGCACTTTATGCAATCTGTGGATGAAAACAGCATCTTTGTACACATCTTGGATTTCAATAATGAGCAGAATAAAATGACAAGAACTGAGTGCAAAGCCAGTGTCTGAAACCGCTTTGTTGTGTGGATTATAAGCTAAACGTTCTATCCCTTAGAGTATTGCATCAGTACGCTAATCAGGGTGGTTACAGTACTTAGGTAAACAACAAGAGAAACACAACTAAACCCACAAGCATGGGACTAGGCTGGACCATTATGCATGCAGTAAGCTATTATCTCCTGTGCCCAAGGTGCATGAGCCTGAAACACTCATCAATAATAGAAGAGAACAAGATTCAACAGCATTAGTTGTCATGTGCTTGTGCACGCACAGATTTGCATCCACTGAAAGCACATAAAAAACAAGATATTTCAGTGTAGCTCACCTCATAGCCCAGCACTCTTTTCTTGCTGGCATTCCAGGGCAGAGCTTTCCATGAAACTTCAATCTCAGACGCAGAGAGGCTCTTGGCACGGACCCTGGTGGGCGCTCGGCCAGGCTCTGGAGTTAATGTATAAAGAGTCTGAATGATTTTAGAAGTTACACTGAGCTTTGATGACCCCTCAGAGTGGGAACATCAAAACTGTTTCAAAGATGTTTCTTTCATCCAAACAACAGAGGGAGGGAAGTATGGGGAAGACGTCTGCAAGTGCTGATAGAAGAACACTGGCTGTAATTACTGCTGCTGTTTAGACCCTGAATGGATCTAGCCATGTACTTATGCATTAATAGTGGCTGTGCAAGTACAGCTACTCCATAACATGTTGCATATGACATGAGAGATTATACGCACCTTCCTCAGCAGAGTAGATAGTGGTGACAGACCCAAACGGCCCTTCCCCCTCATTGTTGTAGACCCCGACCTTCACATGGAAAGGCGAGAAGGGCTGGATGCTTTCGTCTTTAAAGACGTATTTGGATGTTTCAGCGGATGGCACGGCGGCCTGCATCCATCCTGTGGCACCGTGGGGTCGAAATGCCACAACGTAGCCAAATCCTGGTCCATTCTGCAACTCCTCTGGAACAGGCTGCAGGAAAAAAAATTGTAAGCACTTTTTTTGTATATAGAATTAACTTAGAATACATTTTGAAAACTAAAGACTAAAACCAAGACGAAGGACATGGCTTTCAATTTTTGAGTTAATACTACTTGCTTCAAATATAACATATGAGTACACACAAGAAGTATTAGTGGACACATCCATTACACAGTACAGTGCACTCAGCATGATACCATACCAGCAGCTGTTGTCCAGACTGATAACATGCCTCATACATTTATAGCTCCAGACAACATTCTAGTGGATAAACACAACCTCTTCACTCTCGTACACTTAAAGATGTATTCTCACATAAAAAGCACTCCATTTATTCTTTCTGTTTTAGCCCTGCTACAGGCAGGTCCTATGGACACTCTGACTGTGGTCTAAATATCTAAACTCTGGGCCAGTATGGATATTCATGGGAATGTAATAAAAATTGCACTGACTTTGGTAAGCCTCTGACTTTTTAGAATTAGTATTCTTTGAGTGTGTTTTTGGATTTATCAAAAGCCTTCCATACAGTCGACCATAATATATTTTTGGGGGGGATTTTGTGGATCACAAAGTTTTATTACAACCTAAATGGAGTAATTTACAGATGGCTGCTAAATTATATTGCTACTTGAAAACAATTTGTAAATGCGATGGTTGGCCTTATATGGTATGAATTACTGGTAGTGTCCCACATGGGTCAATTATGGGCCCTCTTTTGTTACTCATTTATACTATTGACTTGATCACAACAGCTATGTTGATGACACTAGTTTGTTTCTTTCATATAAACAATTTTTCACACCTCTACATAGTTTAAATTAACCAACTTTCTTTAAATTAAGTCAATAATCTAATTTAATTTTTACTGCCAAAAACACAAGTAAATAAATCATATTCATTTAGTTCACACACAAAATCAATTGGTATTGTGAATAAAATACATAGTTTGGTTTATTTATATTTATAAATCCATGGGAAATACCTATTTTTACATGTATTCTGTATTGTGTATATATAAGCAGGATTTGCTTTCTAGAACATAATTCATTTTTAAAAATGTTTTCCCCATTTTCATCTATATGTTTTTATTTCTATATTTTTCTCACTTTATTATTCTTTACTGTGTTTTGTAACATGTGCAAACAAACTAAACTAACCTCTTTCTCCAGTGCCAAGATCTGAACACTAAACAGAGGAATTGGTAGATTGCAAGGGGGTTAAGCCCATTTGACGTTAATAATCCCAAGGCCTTTTAAACTACCAACAGCCACCCTCAGGACAAAAGTTACACTTTAGTTTCACTACAGGTAACACACTAAAATGGTAAGCACAAGTTAAAATGAAAAACTCTCCATCCCTGCTTTTATGTCAAAATGCCTCAGGAATTTTCAGGACTGAGGCAAAGTAGTGGCTTTGTTAAGCAGAAGTTCGACTTTAATTAAACTCTTGCATACTAAAACATCAACACTGGTTCTGTGAAACGTTTCACAGTGGGGGCTGATGATTTTAAACAGCCTGAATAAATACAAGCTTTTGGAGCTGGATTGATATGCAGAGGCTTTGTACAAAAGAAGGAAAAGAAAAAGAAAGACTGAAAAAAGAGAAAGAAAGGGAAAACAATCTGAAATAAAGTTGGGACTTCGAAGGAACCATTGTGTCTAATTATCTTATTGAAACCTCAAAAGCATTTTTCTCTCCCCTAGGGTGACAGCAGCAGTTATTGCCTCTCTGTTCTTAAAAATGAAATGCCATACATTAAGCTGTTCAGCTGTTATTAATGAAACAGAGGCCCAGATCCACGGAGAATAATGACGTCTGGCTCCCTCCTCCATGGGTGAGGGGCTCCTGAGTAAGCTTGCTTACCTCCCATGTGATGACTAATTCCGAGCGACTGCCACCGCCTCCACTCACATTAGCTGGTGTGACCTTCGGAGCTGGAGGAAGAAGACAGATCAGCTTAGCCCTGTTGACTTCACACGACGGCAAGAAGGCACATGTAATCATTTTCCATGTTGCTACTCCCAAACAGCAGACAGGGTAATGTCTTGACATATTTGAACTTCGACCTTGAGAAAACCCGTAGGATATCAGCAAACTTCTCACAGCTGAGTCGTGTTTGCAGACGTGGCCAACCTGTTGTACTTTTTATATACCAAAAGACAACAAAGGATGTAACCTTGGTGGATCCAGCTCTCAGCTTCCGGTTCAATTTGAATAGAAGTTCAGTTTCTTGTGGTACAGAAGTGACCACACCCAACACTGAACCTGCATTTTAATAAGTCTACAGGCCTGCCAGCACCTGTAAAGCTCATTAAATAATATGTTATGTTTGTTTATTTAATTGACAAGTTATGTGGGTTATGTGCTAGAAATACTTCACCACTTTGTTGAGTTTTGTAGGGATTGAAAAATCCCAGAAATATAGCTATTGAGCTTTAGAGGTGCTGTTGTTAGGGGATTTTGTAACCTTTGGTCAGGCTAACTGTTTCCCCATTTCCAGTCTTTATGCTAAGCTAAGCTGAGTTTCTGCTGGCCGTTTCTCCAGATTTAACGGCCGACATGAGTAATACCTAACTTTCCATCTGAATTTGGCAAGAACATTTTCCTTTATGTCTGAATCCACCCTTTATTCCTATTCCTTTAAAGAAATTAAGTAATATGTCTTCAACGGGAAGAACAAACAAACATGACACAGAGGCATAAGGACATTTCTTTTTGCTCATGCAGTACATACAGGTCCCCTTTGTCCTTGCTTGTTTAGATGGCTTGCTGGGCTCGCCGGTCCCAATGGTGTTGCTTGCCAGGACTCGAAACTCATACTCCACCCAAGGGCTCAGGTCTATTACTGTAGCTGTCAGCCGGTGGCCCCCCACCACCTCAGGAACTGGCATAAAACACACAGTGCCCACTTCAGTATCGTGAAACTTTGTGTGTGTGTTTTCTGTGTGTGTGTGTGTCAGCTTAGCATCAGTAGAAGACTGTCCTCCAGGCTGACAGGCCTGGTAGGACCCCACCACAGGTACATAGGACAAGTGTAATCCCTCACAAGGACACACAATGTGATGCGCAGACAAACTTAAAAAACAAGAAAACAATACAGAAGAATCACATGTAAAGAAATAAACTATTAATTTGCTAATTTGGAGATATTTATTTAGCTTTAGTGAGATGTGATGGTGTGGTCCTGGATTCAAGCATCAAAATCCAAATAGTGCAGTACTATATAGAAAAAAAATAGAGACGATTCCACATAAAAATGACAAAAAATCTGTTTCTTCTGTTGAAAGAGGAGTTATGTCTACCTGCAAGGTCATAATGTAATCCTGTTTCAAATATATGATCCTGATGTGGTAAATCAATGAGGCCAGTAAAACTATCTTAGATCAAAGTGTCCTTAATTCAAAAAATATCAATAGAACAAGGTATACAGTACAGGGTAAATGCACATTATAGCTATCATGCGTGAATGTTAAGGGCCCCATTAAAGAGGATGTGGGGAAAAATTACACCGGTGCCATCACTTAACTACACTATCAAATTACAGCCTTGGCAACAGGGTTCATCATCAGGATGAGGTCTATGTTTCTGAATTCCCAGGAGTCAGATAAAATGGCGGTCAATGCTCATGCTGCAATTGTGTACCATTTGGTGCTGGGTGTAAAAATTGCACCTCAAATATTCTCACAGGCGAGGGAGAATGAAGAGCGGCCCCCTCTGTGTGATTGGAGGAGGCCACGGCTGGTTGGAGAGAGCTTACCTGTGGTGACAGCCTGCCACCCGAGGGAAAATGGTGTCCTGGCCTGGATGGTGTATGCCGTAATTGGACTGTGATTATCAGGACCAGGCCTCCAGGACAGAGAGGCTGTGGTATCAGTGATTTCTTCTACATGGATGCTGGTGGGGGGCCCCGGGGGACCTGATAGATGGCATAGCCAGGCAGGAAGAGCAGAGAAAGATAGAGAGACAAACGGGTGGAAAGAGGCAGAGGAGGGAGGGAGGGAGGGAGGGAGGAAATTTAAATTAGTAAGAGATGGAGAGATGGTAAAGAGAGTGGCTTTGGTTTTAGCACCTGCGGCTACTGAAGCGAAGTCAGTTCACTGTGAAACCTTTGGGAGCTATTTGGTCTAATTAGACAGCAAATTTCCTTTAAACCTTGAGGAGAGGAATTTCTATTTGCTCCCCTTTTCATTCTATCTCTTTATTTCTTCATCACTGAAGCACAGTAAACATTAATTACTAACAAACTCCCTCCCTTTTCAGCAGTAGATGAATGACAACCTTAAACGCTGACAGTGAGCCGAGGGACGTGGCCAGGCCAGTAGTCATTTAGAAAAGAAGCGAGTTCTTTCTCAGCGAAAGCAATGGCAGAATGGACGCTCATTGTTTGTGGCTTACCTCTGACAACCAAGTCAACAGCAATGGAAATGCTGTCCACCTTCGTTTGCACGGCACACGTGTACTTCCCCGCATGCCTCAGCTGGATGTTTCGAATCATAATGTCTCCTGCTGAATGCTGCTGTCATTCAAACCGTGCACAGAAACACACACACACACACACACACACACACACAGAGTTCCATAAGCAATATGGTAAGCCTCCAGCTATTGTAATTCAAGAACAATACTGACTTTCAAACCACATGGGAGCAAAACCAGCTTAACAGAAATCTCATTCTCATGTATGTGTATCTTTAAAAAATAAATCCCTTATTCCTCATGCAGCTTTTTCTTCCGTACTCTGACTACCTTTGTCAGTTTCTCTTGCTATAATTGCAGAAATGTACTTGCTTAAATAGCTTGTATTACAGAGCATTTTCAGTTCTAAGAAGCAGCCTAATGGCTAGTCTAAATACTTAGTTCTTTAAGGGAGCCTTTTATGCTACCTCTAATTGCATTTCCCACGCCTACATTATCATTTCATCAGAGTACAACAGAGCAGGTTCCGTAATAGTAAGAATTCTTTGGAGTGGCTGGTAGATTAATCAATGTAAGTGGAGATGCACAGCAATTTATTAGGGAGAGGGGTCTGGAAATAATGGTACAAGAGGCACCTAAATCATAGAAGAAACAGGAAAGACACCTCAGTGCTGCATTTTTTCTTTACTCCTACAGTTTTTATTTTTTTATTTTTTAGGAAATATAAGCCTGGGTATCACATGCTGAGATGTGAGCTGCAAACCTTTTAAAGTATACAGCGGCTGAGTGAGACTGTTTGCAGGGTGTGTATGTAAATTTCATTTTAAAATAAACCACAGGCAGCAATTTTCTGGCCATAAATAATACACTTGATACAAACATTCCCTCTGCACTGCGGCTGAATTTATTATGACCCTGCTAAAAGAAGAAGGAGTATAATATTGATGTACCAATGAATCTTCACAGTCACCTCTTGACCTTTAGTCGATGAAATCTCTGAAGGCGTTGGAAAATAAATCAATGTCCTTTGTGTGGCAGAGTGGCGCAGTTGCACTAATAAAATTAGCATTCTTCAGCACACCATAATAAGGTTTGTTTCCTAATTATTCATTGTGTATGTGAAAGACATGGTGTTTCTGACATCATCGGGAAAGATTGAAAACTTATTGGGCGATCAACGTGAGGTGTAAAAGTAATGCATTGAGAATGCTCAGTATCCCGAGAGGACAAGCTGTTAGCACAGAGGGAGAAAATGAACAGTGTGCATGTAGTGATCTGGTCAGAGCCCTGGATATCAATGAGGTGGATAATAGTTTTGAACAGGAACTGGTAAGGAAGAAACTCCTGTTTTAAAGCTTTTACCGTTTCAGTGTGACGCTTCAGATAGAGGTGCAGACTGCTGGCTATAGATGGAAAATGCTTTGGACAAGTTACTAAAAATGTCTTTTATTATTAATATTATAGTATAATATAATATAAAAGTAATGAGTTACTAGGATAAGTTATTTTTGCGTTACTCCATTATTTTATTGTTTCTGTGGGACAAGATGAAAATGTATCTAGTTATTAATACACATACTAAATCCTGTTTTTAGTTGAGTGAAGCTTGCCTGTATACACTGCAGATATTTACATATCTATCTGGCATAAACCAAGTGTAGTGTATTTTGATGGTGAACAGCAGGAAGTTCATACAAGGTTACCAACAAGTTAGCCTTTTTAAGAGCACAGAGGTTTATTTCTTTTTTGTATGCTAACATTACTTGTGTGAGGTCTTTTAAGTCTGTAATTGTTATCACTACTCCTAACCTAGTTTCTCTTTGGAATTCAAAGTGTCATGGTGGCTAGGCAGATCTGTACCAAAAGTCATCAAAAGTTGTAGAAATGTGAGGATGAGTGCCACATACAAATTTACCTTTTAACAGTATTTTTATTGGTTTTCAGCAAGTTGCTTTATTTCTAAATATTGAAAATGTCCACATACTGTATAAGCTATCATGACATCGTGGCAACTTGATTTCTAATCCCCTGCTGCATGCGCATCCTCAATTGTGTGTAAATGGGAAACCTGTCTTTCTAGCTCTCACAACATGACAGCCTGTTTAAAAATCAGAGGCCTGAATCAGCCTCACAAGTTTTGAGAGACCTTGAGGGATTATGGACTTACGCCTCCCACTTTTTCAAAAAATCCACCGTGGCTCCCGAAGTGGATGACCTGCTCGTTGAAGAACCAGGTGAATTTGAGCTCCAGAGACGGGTCGTGGCTCACTTGACAGGGCAGGACCACACTCTCCCCCACGGTGACGTCCAGGGTGGACGGCAGGGTGGTTATGATGGTCGGCTCTGAAACACACATTCACATCCGTGCACATTAGATCAAACACACTGTTCAGCTCCCACTTTTCCTGGCATTATAATTCGGTACAGGAAATGGCTTTGCAAAAAGCCAAGCCCTTCCATCATCCTTATGGATATGTCAGACTCAGTTAATAGAAGGATATATGGGACAGAGAGCACACAGCAAACTAGGGCACACAGCTACAATAACTGGTATTAGTCTCGGCCTGAGCTCGTCTCTGTGGGGACTCGGAAACGTGTCTCTCCTGCAGCCTGAGAAGCCTCCGTGTGTCACTGCCAACTCAGCCTTCAGCCTGGAACTCCCTCCCAATTGCCCCGAAATTCCCAAAACACACCGCCAGGAAAACAGTAAACAGCAGTGAGCACTTCTTCCACTCGTCGCCACTCTCTTTTCAAGCCTGCAGTGCATTACAATGGCATCACAAGGGAATAAGGCAAGCGTCCCCTATCTGCACTTGTGTGTGAGCAGCGGAGGAGGACGACGGAGGGACATGAGAGAGGCGAGATGAGAGGGAGAAGGCTTTGTTCTCTGAGTGTACAGCACCTGTCTCCCTCTTGGGGGTGCTGTGATTACTTGGTTGGAATTGCCACTCTGAGCACACAGGCTAAATTAACCATGGCAAATGATCCCCGGACAGGCATAGATTCATGTAGAAAGTGCCGGCAGTGCAGTCTTCATCCAGAGTGAATTCGATACCTTCATTGTATTGGCCCCCTCTTACCACTCCCCAATACACACACACACACACACACACACACACACCACCATACGCTCCCAATGTGATTTATCTACTCGTTTTCTGATATCAGGCCAGAATGCTATCAGCTGGTAGGTTTTGTCACATACACAATGGAAAGTGTGTTTGAGAGCCCTGGTTCTCTATTGCTGGGGCTAAATGGTGAGCGATGGCGGTGCAGTAAAAACGTCGTAATAACACACAGGAGGTATTCAAGGGTCTGTGTCTACTCTGTCTGCCTTGTTTCTAAAGCTACACCTTGTAGAACAAGTGCGGGAGGGAAACAGAAGAGCTAAAAAATGGTTAAGAAAGGGCAAGAAACAGACAGAAAACAGAAAGTGTCAGGGCTGTTTTGCAATGGTTTTTGTGGCAAGACAGTTACTCCAAATGGCGTGAGGAGAAAACAAAAGGCTCAGGAAGGATCTACAGGGTCAGTCTTCCACAGTCAGAAATGTTTCCTCCTCTATCTCTGCAACCTAGAAACATACTATGAACATTTATTTCCTTTATTATTTCTTTTCTAACAGGACCTCCTCTCCTTGTGGTGTGTGTACTGCCTGGTGTCTTACTGCCTCCAGGGACTCACTGGGACAATGATGGTGGGAATATGCTCCCTTATTACCCTCCTCTGTCATCATTTGTGACAGATTATGGACAACCAAGGTTGGTTACACAACCACACACTGGGCTCTTGAGCATAATTTGATTGATTTCTATCTTGTATAATGCCTTGTTACCTACTGCCACTGTAAACGAGGGGATAGTAACCCGCTCACTTAGCGGGGTCAATCAGAGACAAGACAGAGAGTGTGTTAACGTACAGAGACAGGCCGGGTGGCTCCTCAGGAAGTGCTGCTGCTGAGGCGGGTCAAAGCACTGCTGACGTGTTTCAGTTTGTACTTAGGATGCTGAGAAGTGTTCTCTGATAGTCTCCTGTTGCTACATGTCACAGTGTTTAACATGAATAATTGGCAATAATTAATTAAACATGACAAATCAATGTGAAGTAAATAAACATTTATTTTCACATCATTTTTTTCTGATTTCTGATTTCTCCAACAAACAGTAAATGGACTGCACTTGTATAGGGCCTTTCTAGCGTTCCATCCACTCAATGCCACAATTCATCGATTCACATACATCACAAAGGCCATCACAAACAGAAAGTAATTCATTTATACACATTCATACACCTTGAGCAATTTGGAAATTCAGAATCTTGCTCAAGAACACTTTGACATGCAGCAGGAGGAGCTGGATGATCGAACCGCCAACCTTCTCACTAGTGGACGACCTGCTCTGCCTCCTGAGCCTCAGCCACCCCAAGGATTCTCCAATAAACTTCACTGGTTCTGTTTTGTAATTCAGGGGAATTATTCAAAAATGAAAAAAGAAGCTTATAAATACACTTGTGCTAACAGTCATCATTGGGTAGTGGCTCTAACATTAACGACTGATACTTTTGAACACATTTACTTTAACTTTTATTTACTAAAAGAAATTAACTGTCTACAAAAATAAACAATAGGATTTGCCGTTGGGGGATCAAAAACAGATTTCAGTCAAGTTTTGACTTTGAGTGGCTGAATTTCATTTGATATTCATGAAGATAGCCCTCAGTGTTGTGTATGTTTAAAAAATAATTCTATTGTAGATCTGAAAATGAAAAAGTGAAGGATTTGTATCTGTTTGTGTGTGGAAACCCCATATATCAACATGCACTGATCAAATCATGATTTTGTTGTTGATGAGACTTTACTAATAAAATAAGAACATCACACCCTCATAATTAACATGACAAAATTCTGATTGTCTTCCACAACTGTCCATATAACTGTTCCAAAAGCACCTCACCTCATATGCTTAATGACTGGTCAAGTTTTGGAAACTAAAAGTTGGCTAAAGGAAGGAAAACACTTTGGCTCCAAAATATCAGAATATTTTTCAAGACATTCCCCAGAAGGATTATTTAATGTGGTACTCACTGTAGAGATAAAAAAAAAAACCTCTTTAAGTTACAGCACAGCACCTTAGCTGAACTAGCAAACATGAAATTCATCTGCAGACAGATATACAATTCAACATAAAAGGAGAATTAAGTTCTCAGTAATAAATGAATAATAAATTAATATTTACTTACTTTACTTGGGCTTAGATGTACCTATTTTCACTATAACCGACACCAAGTCATTATATTCAGGAAACTTCCTAGGAAATTGTTTGGCAATATAGGACCGATAAAATAAATCCTCCTTTGACAGTGAAGTGCTTGGTGGGCCAACCATCCATCCCAACCTCCTCCCTATAGAACTTTTGAGAAGGTTAAACAATGCCATACTACATCCGACTTTGCAACTAAGAAAGGACAGAAACTACATTTGTCAGGAACATGAGTTTAAAGCCTCTGGATATGTGGCCTGAAACAATTAAAATGCATATATGATGATGATTAAAGTTGAATGTCTCATTAAGCATCCACAAAAATCTGAGAAAAATAAATGTTCAGAAAAACACCTAGTTCAAAAAACTCTGTTTGCTGTTTGTACCATATATCAAGACTGTGTACGCTGGCAGATCACGTTTTCTTCGACATCTCCTTCAGGAGAGGGGTACTACTATGGATGCACCATAGTAGTGTTGCACCCATTTGGGTGGAACAACTGACAACTGTTATTTTACTGGTTTGAAGAATTAATTGCATATTTTTTTGTAATACATGTCTAATCATAGCCACAGCCAATTCAAACCTCATATCAGGAAAGTTTACAAAAACTTCAGTGTGTAACATTAAAGATCTATTTAAAGGGAATATAACATTTATAGGTATGTTTTTTAGTGTATCATAAAAATGAAAATGTATCATAATCACCTGAAAATAAGAATTTGTTTTCGTTACCTTTGAATGAGCTGTTTTTATCTACAGAATAAGCAGGTTCTCTTACATGGAGGATGCCATGTTGAACTGCCATGTTTCTTCCATTTGTACAATGGACAAACCAAACACTGGCTCTAGATAGGGCCTTTGGCATTTTTCAACACTTTCTCAGCCATTGTAGTTTAAAACATGGAACGAGAGAGAGAGGCGAGGGCGTGGTAATTTGCAACTGCACCATTAGATGCCAATAAAGTCTACACACTGGTACTTTAAATGACAATATTTTGAATTTGGATTCAAACTAATTTGAACTAATTTAAATTGAAAGTTATAAGTCTATTGTGGATTTGGGTTTCCAGTGGCTTTAAATGTTTGAACACACAGCCGAAGCAGTCATTTTTTCTAGTCTCAAAGAGTGCTGCAATCAAGCCAAGTGGCTTTTTAATGTAAAAATCCCCAGAAAACAATATACGCTTTTTAAGCTAAAGCTTAAAGCTTAATGATTAAATGAATGAGAAATTGATTTTTTTTTACTATTTAAGCAACATCAAGTACTTGGCTTAAACAGCAACAACAATCACAGCATTGCATACCATGTTAAAGCAACTGAAGGAGATGTGGCAGCCAAACAGATGACTTACTGACACTGGCTCACAGTGGGAACACTCAGAGAAGCTGTGCAACAATAACATATGGTTGAGCAGGAAACAGAGCGAGCTAACGGTTACCAAATGACTCCCTGCTCCTCTCTGAGGCGTACTGACATGCCTCACATGGCCAGTTTCACCATTCTTCCCACAAACAGCAGCCATCATGAATAATGCTCACCCCCCTGCCCCTCCTGTGGAGAATCCCAGCTTCGATGCTCTAAAGCTATAAAGTGTAAGTATGTAATCTCCAGTGTACACAAGCTGTAGTTTTCCACACAAGGTGAGTGATGTGAGCTTGAATAATGCAAAACAGAGGGTGTCGAAAGAGCCATGGGCCACGTGATGCAGGGATTTTGAAAACAAATTTACCGGAGCAAAGCCTCACCCTCACCCTCAAAGTCCTTCACACAGAGATTCACGCAAAGATGATCCTGAGGCACGCAGACTCAAGACAAACAAAGACTTGTAAAGAAAATGTATTTTCACCGGCAGGTCAAAAGCCTTCTCTAAAGAGGCTGCACCAAATCTGACGGCACACATCGGGCTACGGCACATAACATGTATTTGAAGGTAAATCACACGTAACATTATACATCGCATTCAGTGTTGATGAAAAGGCCCTTTATTCCCCAGTGCCAGTGTTATCTCTCAGGTCATATTGAAACAAAACTGCAGAGCATGTTATAATAAAGAAATCATTCCACCCCAATTTCCTCCTGTTGCTTTACAGACAAACAAACCAAGAGGCTTTCATCAGCACAGCACTAACTCCTCCCACATGCTTTTCTGTATGCCACTCATTTTCCAAAGGTCAAATCAAAGGTCTCACAAGGACGACCTTTAATTGCGGAAAAATCTGTACATCTCTCAACAGATACACAGAAGATTCACTGAATACTGTAATCGTAGGCTGTGCAGCGGCACATCTGTAGCAACCTGCTGGTGATCGCTGACAGATGGCTGCTCATTATTTTTCTATATGGCTGTCAGGAATCACACATCGCATTTATTTCACATAGTTGCTGGCAGGCGACATCAACGAAAAGGTTTGCTAGGGGAAAAGCTCCTCCCAGAGTTGGGTGTACAACTGGGATGTTTTAAGGCCCATTTCCTAATTCAGTGTGGCATCAGAGCAGTAATGATCAGATGATTTATCGTTTGTCTTACACCTCCAAAAAATGACAAAAGCTATGACCAGTGTGGTCTTTCTGGATTGAGATTGAATCTGTAGTAATTTTCATGCCAATCCATTCAACAATTGTTGAGACATTTCATTAAAAGCTACATATGTGAACCTTACGGTGGCACTAGAGGAAAAGTAACCAACATCATTAGGACTTGTCTTCTGGGGACCAGAATGTCCGTGCACGAAAAAGACTGACATTGCCATCCCTAGAGTAGAAACACAAAGATGATTCAATAACCACTCAAACAAAAGACTCCATTTTTACTTTCCAAACCCCTCCAAAGCGAGTGGTTGCAGTATTGTGTCAGTGTTGGAAAGATGAATTGCTTTCGGAGTTCGCAGAGGCAAACAGAAGCGAACACAGTATGATCTCAGAAGTTTTGAGTTCACTGACCATCTGTAATGATCGGAGGCAACCCTAATTGCAACGGCTCATCTCCAGTGTAATCAAAATTCAGGGAGCACGTCCATAATCAAGTGCAATTAATCTGCTAATATCCCCCCAGTGTTGGAATAATGGGGACATTAACAGGGCTCATCTGTTGTGACTGCTCCTCCGCTGTTTGCTAGGTGGCTTATTCACCGCAGGAGACGCCAAATGCTTTTTGACAGGTATTTTTCAGCATTCATATCACCAAAGTCAATTTGAATAAACTACTGTCATCTCCCATAAGGGCTGCTCCTGCAACACAAATTTCTCCTCGCTAAACAGGTTTCCAATCCTCAATGAAATAGTGCATGTAAATTACCCCATCCCATTTTCCAAACAATATTGATTGTGACAGAGAGGCGGAAGATCATATACAGGAACATTTGTACATCAGCAGCAGAAAACAGCTTTAACATATGATGATGGAAAGGAAGCGGTGAGCGAGGGTGTCAAATAAAACCCATATTCCCTTTCACAAGAATAATAAGTGGATAAAGGCGCCGTCTATTTATGCCCCCCCCATGTGATAAATGGGTAAAAGGAGAGTGTGACTGGCAGAGTGTAGCAATGCTATGCTTTTCATTATGCCTCCAAGTTGAAACTCTGTGCTTAAACTTTCACAGCAATTAACACGACCACGAGCAAAACTACAAATGCACTGACAATTCCCACGTTAATTTCATCACTTCAATTATGCAAAGGTTACCGATTCCTTTTGTGGAAAGGCAGTCGTCAATGGGAGGCAGAGTGAGGCATCAGCATAAATCAGCAGCAAGGTGCACTCTAAGCTCTCCCCGCATCCTTGACTGCTGCTGACTTTCAAGCATTCATAATATATGAAATCTGTCTTTTATAATTCAACAGAAAAAGGAAACATGCCTTGATAGTGATTTACAGAGGAAGGAGCTGCTCTTGAGTTTTTAAAAATTCCATTACAATGGAAGAAGGGAATTACTGTATAGATACAGTTCAGGACATTCCTCTTGCTGTTATATAGTCACTGTTGCTTTAGTATCCAATCAAATATTTGCCTTTAGGGCTAAAAATTCATTCACGTTTCTATAGGAACTGCTTGGGAAAAAGAAATCCACCCAATATTTGGCAGACTGCTGTGTCGTTGACTCCGCATTTCAAAGGAATTTATAGATTTCTTGTAGAAGAAAGACAATTAAATGGATTGAACCTTTGAGCAAAAATCATAAACCACAGAAGAAGAAGAGGGAGAAGCTCAGTCTTTGAGACAGAAAAATGATTTCACTTCAGTGAGTAGTGGAAAACATACAGCACTTCTCATCATATATGCTGGGGAATTGGAAGGATTTTGGCACCATTTTATTGGTATTTTTTTTTACTGACGGTACAATTCATTGCCTAACAGTTAGGTTCAACTGTGTGCACAGTGCACACCAAACTATGAATATGCAGAATATGCCATCTGATTTGTCTGAAAGATCTGATGTGAAGATTCCAATAATCTGTTGAAATATACATGTAAATCTATACCAAACCTTTTGAAATATGAGGCATGAACTTTTCCTCCTGTGGCCAATATACTGAAAATCAATAATTCTATAAATCTACACGAGCTAGCCAATGAGGAAGGTCAAGGCAGAACAAATAACAATTATACAAATGAACTGAGCAACCTCTGTGAAAAGCTGTGTTGGGGGGGCACGTGAGGGTATAGTTCACTGAATATGTCAGCAAATCCCACAGAAACTAGAGGAGGTGAGAACACTATTCCCTGTGGACAGAAAAAAACAGCACTGTGCACAGAATAAAGCCACTCATGCACTGCAATTTCTACCCGGCTCACATTCATTTTCAATGAAGGCGAGGCAAGGCTAGGAGCATTTCATACACAAAGGCAACTCAAAGTGTCTTATATAAAGCATTAAAAACATAAAAAAGAAAGAAAACTGCATAAAAAAAAACATTAAAATGCTAATTAAAAGAATGGAAACCTTTTTAGATAAAATTAAAATGTTACACAGATATAAAAACCGGATAGGAGGGCAAGATGGTTCACAATGATGACCTGAGAGGCCGAGAGGGGTCATGCGTTTAAAGATAGGGAGAGGTGTCTCATGTGGTGGGGCCGAAATCCAGACTGAAACGTATCAAAGTAGCTATTTGAGGTTAAAAAGTGACTCAGTTGCTGGCAGACAACTTTTCCAATTATTTTACTTACAAGGAAAAGCTTTGATAGTGGTCTGTAGCTGGTAATCACAGATGTTTCCACACTACTCGTTTTTAGGAGAGGCTTGATGACTGTAGTTGTCAAGGCTTTGGGAAAATTACCTGATAACAGAGAGCTAATGACTATCTTTAGTAGAACTGTTGCCAAACAGCTGAAAGCATTTTTAAAGAAGCTTGTTGGTTGAGCATCAAGACAGCAGGTGGACGGCTTACGATGCGGCACAATTTCATCTAAGTTCATCTTCATCTTTTCATCATTTTTTACTATATTTCTTCCATGTGATTGTAGGTGGGAATTTAGATATTTTTTGCATTACACCGAACTTTTGATGGCTGGTCCAATACTTTTAGGTTTATTACTGAAGAAGTCTGCATTCAGAAGTCATTGATTTCCTCAGTGGAAAGGAGTTCAGATGTAATAGGGGGATTGGTCAGCCTATCAATGGTACTAAAAAGATAATTACTGGCATTGCTGTTGAGGATGTTTGCTTCATCCCTCTCAGTTTCAGTTGTAAATGAGTTTATCTTAAATGTCAAAGGTTTGTTTGATGCCATCCGCGCTCAGCTTTTCGGCATTCCCTTTCCTGGATCTTTATTGAATTGGAATTTCACCGTGGTGTTTACCAGAGGATGATTTAACCACAGTGATGTTCTCAGTTTTGTAATTGTTTTGTAATTGAAACTGCCTGGAAAAACTTTCACAGAGGGTAAAGTGAGCCCAGGCAGTGCAGACATAGCTTCAATGATGTACTGCTTTTGAACAGTTGTTGATCTTGTGTTTTACTCTTTAGGAGTAATAGACGTATAATAAGCCACAGCACCAGAGCAGAAATGCAACCCCCAGCCCAGATGATCTAACAATACAAGGCTTTTTTCACACCGCATATCCTCTGACAGTCCTGGAGGCACCGAGGCAGTGAGCTGAATGTTTTCAACTCCTCTGCATGGCAACTGAGGTGTGTCTGTCTCTGTAGTGATGACAGCACACAGAAAAAGGCCTTCTCCTCAAGACTTTTCAGAAGAGGGAGAGAGAGGACGGGTTGGAGGCTTCACAAATCGGTGTCCTTCTTCTCTGTGTTGGTCATGTTTTATTTATGAAATTGAACACTTCAGGTTCGTTTTTCAAGGGGCAGAGTGAAATATCAATCAACTCCACGTTGCTGTCAGAGTGAAAAACATGCATTTGAAAAAGGTGTCCGGTGCTTTACTGGTCAGGGTCCCTGCTGACTGACCTGCAAAAGACACAGTGATGAAATTTGAAGAAGGAATAGGAAATACCTTTAACTGTGATGCTTCCTGTGCTACTTGCCACGCCAAACTGGTTTCTTGCCACACACGTGTAGAGACCTGCGTCCGGTTTGGTTGCGTTCCATATCCGAAGGTTACCGTTGTCCAGAATGGAGACCCTGTAGTTAAAAAAGCACATTTTATTTCATTTGAATTACTGCCGTAGCATCTGCTTGTACCATTATAGCCCGTTTTCATCCCAGGTCGTCAAATACAGACGCTCTTGCCACGCCCCCTCTGTATGTGACACACCAGGCTGTCAGAAAGCCTTTTTAACACATGGTTAACGTTGTGAAACAGTCACTGTCTGGTTTGAATTAGACACCAAAACTACTTGTTTAGATTTTATAAAAGATCATGGTTTGGGTTAAAATAACTACATTACATTTACATACATAAATCACATGTCATAATGCAATTCACAGACACAAGTCATGGATGGTGTTATTTGACAACCTGGGAATGAGAACAGGCTGATTAGTAACAAATACTGCTATGCATAAATTGTAACATTTGTAGCACAGGGTTGAATATGCAGCAAAGAAAAGTGACTAACATGCAGCAGAGAACATTTCTCAGTGTCTCTAATTAAGTTGTGCTTCTTGCAGATGACAACGATGAGAAATAGGATTGTATTTTCAGGGTTGTTTAATTCAGCGCATGACTTCAAGATATCTAGGATAACGGTGGCTTCCTTGCCCTTTATACGATGGCCACAAGTGCTTCCAAAAAGGTCAAAAGGCCTTAACAAAACTTGACATTTTCTAAATAACAAGCAAAAATGGAAATTTTGCCCTTGAAAGGAAGGTACTGTGGGAAATCAAGGGTGGACCAACTCATCAAAGCACGCTGAATTTTAATGATCTGAAATGCTCTGCTGAATGTGCAAACTGTAAATATGAAACGGCGTCAGCCTGATTGTGAGGGAGGTAAAACGATGTGTGGCCAGTAAATTGCTCCATTCACCTATGAACAGAGTCAAAGGAGTCAGAGCAAACAGATTCAGCCACTGTTAGATGGCAGCGAGGGTTTTAGCAAACTGAGAAATTAAACACAAGGGCAGAGGTGATTTTGTTCAATGACGGCTCTTTCAGGAACACGCATAAACACTTAAAGCTGCACCAGTTGATATTTTCATATTAACATTGGGTCAAATGGCTCTGTGTTATGTGAAAGGGGCCGCACAACGGGACAAACCCACAGAGAATTTAACACCCAACTCAGCCGTTTCCGTCAGCTTCACAGAGCACATTTAGTATCTTTCAACTGGACCCACAGCTCTACTGTTTTATACCAGATATTTCTCTCTGAGTCGGTAGAGACCAAAGCAGAGCTACACGGAATATGGGACTTCATTCATTATGTTGCCATAAACACGACTCCAAGTGAATGATAATGTTGCTCTGTGTCTGCTGGATGTGTAAACACTGTAAAACTTCCATTAATAGCCCGGGCTTTTATTTGCTTCAATCGCTGAACGAAATTGTTTGTTTGAACCAGTATGAATATTACTTGTATAAAAAACAAACAAACATATCAATTACAAATCATTTATTTAATCATTTGATACTTTGGTGTTCATAATTTCTGTAAAGTGAACTGAAGGATTGAATTGTGGAGAATTTAACTGATGTACTAATGATGTGTAGCACGTCCATATTGACAAAAGTTTAGACACATATTTGTGTAGGCGATCTAAGCAGCTTAGAACTCACCCAAGCGGGCGACCCGGTGGGTTTTAATAGGTTTTATTAGTTAATGCCAGTTTAAGATCACTCTATGCACACTTCTTCATTTGGGTCTTTACATTTTACCTGTTGTTTAACAGTGGAAAGTCTAAGCCTTAGTCAACTGTGGCCTTTTTGTTTCAGAATTTAAAAATATATACGCTTTAAACATTTTAGAAAAGCTTTTCGTAAACAGTGTCAGATATCTTAAATCACAGTATGTGACAACAATAGCAATGCACAAGAAACAGCAGAGTTACAGCAGTTGTTTCAGCTATGCTTTCATACAGGAAATTAAAACTGGCATACTGGTTCATCCGGGACATCGCCCTGCACTACATCCATTTGGAGATAGGGTTTCAGGCCACCTGGTGAATGTAAGTCTTCATTTTAGCTCTGTCATGGTCTTACTAATTCCTGAGAAAAAATATCTGGCTCTTTAGCTGCTAAATGCTCCACTATGTTCACCAGATAGTCACTAACTCTGTTTGTCTACTGTCTAGTGTTCAGTAGGTAGTGTAAAGAGCTTTTCTACTGAAAACAACTGCCTATGGGCCACAAACAGCGCCATGAGCCCGTCTGACAGTGAACCTAAAAAGTGACATTTCTGGGCCGAAAATAAAAGCGTGGAGCAGAAAGGTGCCATGGAGCTTTGTAGAACTGCCGTGTGATAATTCTCTGTGTTCGTCACTGCAGGGGACTTCTTTTAGCAGTCATGGGATCCACCATTAATACATTGATGATAGCTGCTTCAAGGTTTTAGAAAAGCCTTATTTTAAACCAGTGTCATAGTTTCATAATCACTTTACTAGAATATAAAAGTAAAATGTATGCCCCTTATTACTTTTAACCTCTACATTCACTGCTGTAACTGTAAAGCACCTATTAAAATGTTAGCTCATTCAAAAACATGGCTGCATAACTAACAGTTCAACAGGACCAAGCTTCAACGTCACAGAGCCTGTGCATCAGCACACTAGCTGTCACTGGAATGACGCCTTCAAATCAGCTTAAATGTGTTCCTCCACTCCTTCTGATTGATTCCAAACAACTATCTAACAGCTAAAGATAATTGACAATGTAGTGTGAGCTAAAACAGATAGGACTTTAATAGAGGTCTAAATGACACATGACACTAACAACAGTTCATCAGCTCCCACTGTTATAGGAGCATGGTGTTTTCTTGTTTGCGCCAGTGATGCGTTTAACTGGATGTACTTGTGAAATGCGGTTGATACAGTGTGACACTGAGTTCTACATTCCCCCCTGCTTCGCTGTCTACACCGGGTCGTCAAGCGGCGGGTGCGATAAGAAAGTGCAGAGACAGTTAGTGTAAGAGAATCTACTTCTAAAACCACATGGCGCTGCTGAGTGGAGGCTTCTCAAAAGTGCTGAATGCAAAGCAGCCAACAATGGCCATCAGTTACACGAGAGGGCATATCTCTGTGTGGGATGGCGCACAGTCAATGACATCAAAGCCGGAGGCCGATAAATTTGAAAAAAATGGCCCATTAAATGGCACCACGGTCTTGCAACTGACCATAACCCTGAGCAGAGTAAGCACAATTAAAACAACTACTATACATAATTACATTGCAATGCTGGCACTCTGCAGCAAAGTTTGTCTGATGACTCATGTTATCTAAAGGAAATGGTACTAAAGGTAATAGTTCTGCATTACAGTGAGGTTTCATCACATATGCAACTGTTATCAATTAACTAGTGACCTTTTCTGCCATCAGCGAGAATGCAAACAAATGGGAAAACACATCATTTAACTACAACAAGCTCTGACCCAATTCAAGTTTACCAGCACCAGACTCACAGCAAAGCCTCAACATAACTTAATACCTGCATTTGCACTCTGTATATCCACAATCCCTTTATCCTCAGGGACAAAATAGATATCATGTGACTTGTGCGCCATGCATCTTGTAAGAGGAAGCTCTGCAGAGAGAGCGAGCAAGTGGAGCTGCAATGGAACACAATGGCTCTTACAGAGAGTTAAATCCTCAGTGGTCCTCCTGTGGAGCCAAGACTGTTCTTAGCCATTCACCGGATCGTCTACCTTTTATGAAGCTTTATATGAAGACCAGGGAGGCACTTTCCTTTCGCCAATATTACAGAAAGTGGAGCAGACTGGCTGTCTTCATAAGTGCTCGTCATTTTAATCTTAAACTAATGGAAGATGAGGTCAAATACAGTAGAAGTCAGCTGAGGCAAGGTAGCGGTGAATAAGAGATGGAGGCTTACTATTAACACATTTCAGTTTTGCTCCTGTCTTCCCTCTACCTTCTGCTGTGGCCGAGACAACATGTCTGCACGATGGGCCCATTATGCAAGCAGACATTCCCCACCTCCATCCCGAGAGAAGCCAGCGGAGGGGTAGGTATCAATAATTCACATGTGAGATGAACACAAGTGCCACTCCTTTCATCCCCACCTCACACAGGTTTAATGGACACAGCAATAAGTCTCCTAAAAGGAGGCGATTATTTCTGAACAAGGCGAGATGGCCAAATGCACTCGTGTAATCCTAAAAGACACAGGTGTGTATTTTGGGCGAGATCAAGCCTCCGTGGACAGGGGCTGTACAGTGTTGATCCTCCCCACTCTGTGACAAGATGAAAGAGACAAATAACATCAGTCACAGAGCAGCTATCACGGGCACTGTGAAGTGGAAATCGCAGGAAAGAGCCCGGTCCAAAGTAAAAAGCCTGTTTTTGTTATTTCCTTACGTTCTCTTTGAGATGCTGTTAACAGATGCAGACGTTGCCTTTCTGTAAGCTTCCTTCCAAATCAAAAAGGCACTTGAAAGCCTTGTTTTGATGTTTCATGCAGACATATTTTGTCTTTGATCTGTTTGATAAATTCTACATTGTGAGAGGAAACTGTCACAATCCAAATAATGAGTCACAAAAAAGAAAAAATTTAAAAAACAGACGGGAAGAAAATTGCGCATTTGAGAGCAGTCGCTTTGAACTAAGTGTGGGCCTGGAATGTAGAGCGAGTTTCTAATGGCAGCAGCAGGAACCCCGCGCTCATGCCGGCCCGCGTTCTACATAAACACACTAACTCGCTAACGCCGTCGAAGAATAGGAGCGCACTCATAAAAATTCAACATACAAACAATAAGCCTAATCACAGATTAGATTCAGATTTGAGAGTTTCAAACAGAACCGTTCATGAATACTTAGTGACTCCGAGATGCCATGGCTGATTGGTAGCATGACTGCAGGGTGGAGGCCTGTATCCGTCTCTACTTAATTAACAGGGTAAATAAAACAGGCTTGTGAAAATAGGGGTTAAGATTCTATCAGTGGAATTACTCAGCCATGAGACCACAGGAAGAGAGATCGTCGCAGGCTTACGGTGATTTCACCAAATAATTA